TTTTACAGAAATGGTGTCATTCTGTGTATACTCTTCTACAACTTGCTTTTTCACTCAATATTATGTATCTAAGATTTATCCATGGTATTGTGGCTAACTGTAGTTCAGTTATCTTTACTGCTGAATAATATACATTTGTATGATTTTTCCCCCAGGTTTTTTGCTATTTAGACAACCCTGCTGTGAACATTACTGTATATGTCTCTTGTTACACATGTGCAACAACGTCAACATTTTGCTGTATTTGCTTCATTTCTCCTTTTTTAGTTGTTGTATGCTTGGTGGGGGGCGGTAATTAGGTTTCTATTTATTTTAATGGAGGTGCTGGGGATTGAACCCAGGACCTCGTGCATGATAAACATACACTCTACCACTGAACTATACCCTCCTCCCCAAGCTATACCCTCCCCCCATTTCTCCTTCATTTTTGTCCCTTGAGTGTTTTCAAAGAAAATTATTAAAGACATCATGCTATTTACTCTTAATTCCTTTACTACAAATCTCCAAACAATATTAGGTTTGCATTCATGAGATAAACCTAGTTTGGTTATGATTCATTATTATTTTTTATTCTCTGCTGGATTAAGTTTGTTAGTATTTTGTTTAGTTTTTGCATCTATGTTCATGAATGGTATTGTCTTATAATTTTCTTTTCTCATATTGTCACTTTTGTATCAGTGATATACTGGCTCACTGAAAGAGTCAAGGAGTGTTAACTCTTTTTTAAAAAATTTTTATAAGGAGCCAAAGTCACAGTCTAGCTATGAGAACAGTAGACATGACTCAGGTATTTTTTATATATATAATGTAATTATATATATAGATGTATCTTATGTATATATCTTAAATATACATCTATCTTAAGTGGATATTTTACTCTGTTTCTTCTTTTTATATAGATGCACGTGGTCCAGGGCACATATGCTTACCACCATTACATGCAGGATCGGATCGATGACAGTGGCTGGGGCTGCGCTTATCGCTCTCTGCAGACCATCTGCTCCTGGTTCAGACACCAGGGATACACAGAGAGATCCATTCCAACACACAGAGAAATTCAGCAGGTACGGAACATGCCATTTTGAATTATAATCAGTTGTACATTTTATTAGCCCTTAATGTACCATATAATGATTATTCGTACTACCGCATGGTACAGACTTACTTCTGCTTTGAAGAAAAACAATATACTGCCCTGAACATAATTTTTAATAGCTGTCTTGTGTATGGATTTTTTTTGTATCTTTAAATACACAAAGGCGCTAGTTGATGCTGGGGACAAGCCAGCGGCATTTGTCGGATCTCGGCAGTGGATTGGCTCCATTGAGGTGCAGCTGGTACTGAACCAGCTTATCGGTGTAACTTCAAAAATACTGTTTGTCAGGTAAGGACACTTCCAGAAATTTGAGAAATCATTTCAAAGTGGATTTGTCATTTTCATTAAAAGAAAAATTGCATCTTTTCCCCACGTTTGTTTTCACTCTTTTCTCTTCTTCCGCCTTGCCTCGTTGCTTTATAACCCTCATTTTTCTAACCCTAATTTTTTGGGGGGTTATTTTTAAGAAGGTGTTTGGGTTTATGAGTAAACTTTGTGATATCTGCTTGTCTGGCCTAGATGCAGTTGTGGTCTAGAAGAGGAAAACGTAGAAATATGTCAACTTTGACTAGAGTTACAGGAAGTCTAGTTTTTAATGCTTAAATCATTAGAGTCTTGAAAGGAAGAAATCAAATGTTGATCTGTGACTGACCTTTTTGTTTATCTCCTGCTCTTTTTCTTACTAACATTTTTAATAAACTAATAATGTGTCCAAATAACACATTCATTTTATCTTTTCCAATATATTTTAATTATAATTCTAATAAACTATGAGCAGATATTAAATAAGGTTGATTTCTGTGACCATCACTAGCTTTCCTTATTTATGAGCTTGTTTTAAGTCCATTTTCTGTCACAACCTTGATAACCATAGTGTCACTGTCCCTATTGTCTTAAGTGCTTTAATACATCTGATTTCACAATTGCAATTTGGATTGGCTGTGGAAGTCAGCACTAACAAGTGATAAATTAAGTAGTGATTAAAAAGTGAAAGTTTGGGCCCATTAAAACAGTATTTATACACTACTTACAAAGCAAGGGCTAAGGGTTAGCACCACCTGTCACCTCCATTCTAAAAAAAAAATCTTCCTTCATCTGGTCATCTTTCTCTTCTCAAAACGAAAAATTGGATGACATTGAAATATTTCCTAAAAATATGTTTTACTTGAAAACATTTTGCAGTTTTCACATTGGCTGCACAGACATAGTTTGCTTTAGTCCTGAAATCTGTCATGTAGGAGATTTTTGGTCCAGGTACTATTGGTCTCAGTTTAAAGATGAGGAAATACAGACTCAGAGTCTGACAGCGAGAAGACAAGGACCTAGCACTTACAAGTCATTCTTCTGAATTTAAGTCCACCCATAAGAGCCCCTGGGCATCAGAGTGACCAGGGTGACCACTTTCAATCTCATGTTAAAAATCCAGGACCTTCTTTATGCAGTTCCTTCTTTCCTAGCACATTTAGAAGAATCAAGACATTCTTTCCTAGCACATTTAGTGGCCTTAAATATTTAGAGACGTTGTATTGCTTTCAATTGCTTACTCAGTTCCCTACCACTTAATTTTATTTAAATTTATAGTGTTTTTTTAATAACCAAAAAAGAAACCAAAAAGATAGAAAACATCAGCTCTCAAGCTCATTATTTGACCTTAGACATAGTTCATCTGACAGAAAATGGTTTCCTTTTAGCCAAGGTTCTGAAATGGCCTGTCAGGGACGGGAACTGGCTAATCATTTCCAGAGTGAAGGAACTCCAGTAATGATCGGTAAGGTGTTTTGGACATCTTGGGTTCTTTTGATTATCATTAACTTAAATATTTAATGGCACATAAAATCATGCATTTTTAAACACTTTAAAATTAGCTTTTACACCATACCTGCAGACCTCTGGGTATTTATTTTAAATTTTCCAAGGTGGCTGGAAAGTTACAAAAGTAAAGGCTAAGAAGGAAAGTGATAACTGTGTTCAGATACTTAAAGAGTTGAGAGCAGAGTGGAAAAGAAGCAGAAGTGATGGTTGTCACTGACTTGGCTGGCTGCGTGGTGTTGCGTACGTTGTTTAACCTCTGGGCTTTATTTGTAAAGTAAAAGGATTGGACTAGCTGAAGAGTCAAGGTTCCAAGAGGAATAGGAGTTCCCCTGGGGTGACAGAAGGCAGACTAAGACTGGTGTATAAGAAATGCAGGTAGACAGATTTCAGCAGAATATCAGAAAGTACTGATTGAGCAGGTGGGCTGCACCTTTGGAGGTACTCACAGCAGAGGCAGCATTGCCCACAGTGGTGCCTGTTACTCTGTTGGAAGGAGTTAGACCCTCTGTGGCCTTTTTTTTTTTTTTTTTTTTTTTTTTACAGTTTAGGTAATTTTATGAATATAGCAGTGGAATATAAACCTTACATAATTATAGATATGATTGTATCTTTTCTATCTTAAAGATGCAATTTTATATTTCAGAGTATATTTGACATTGTATATGGCCTTTTACAGTGTAAGCTAGTTTTTAATGCTCTGATAGGCAAAATAATCTTCTAAAATTGGAATTGAATGGGAAGTTGAGATTAATATGTGCCTTTTCATGTCATATTTCCTCCTACAGGGGGAGGAGTTTTGGCCCACACAATACTAGGAGTTGCATGGAATGAGATTACAGGGCAGATAAAATTTCTGATTTTAGATCCGCATTATACAGGTGCTGAAGATCTCCAAGTTATTTTGGAAAAGGTAAGTATTCGTTTAACACAAATTTAGTTACAAAGCACAGAACCCAGAACCAAAGGATAGCAAACTGGCAACTAATGGAAAGATGGATTATAAACTGAGGGCAGTGATCCTCACTGTAAGGAGGTATTCTAAGGGTATGATGAGTGACTCTCTCTCTAGATAGGAAGAAAGAACTAAAGTAAACTGTGAGAGACAAAATTTAGGTTAGATTTATAAAGGCTTTCTCAGTCATTAAACTCAATAATGGAACACAAAATTCATAAATGTATTTTTTGGACTTTTTTACAGCTTTGCATTAAAAAAATATAGTAAGGTCTAGCAATGCTTTGAAATAGAGTGGAATATATAACCTTTATAATTTTAGAATTAAACCAGAAATTAGCTAAGCAGTGTGCTGGACATTGTGAAGGCTTGACCACTTTTAATTTATTTACATATAACTTAATTTCATTCTATAAAGGATTTGAATTTGAGACAGATTTATTAAGAGTCTTTGTTGATGTTTAAACTACTAGTTAAAGGAGGTAGTTAAGTTAATTTACAGGCAACTAATTCTCACATATGGTAGCTTCAGTACTAAATCATTAGTAGTCTTGTATGGACAGATGCCAGTTAAACTTCACCTGCCATCATCGGCCAGAATTGTAAAACTATACATCTTAGAACCGATAAAATGTGATAGTAACAGTATGATAATGAAGCTTTTCTCTTTTGTATGATTTCTATGATTAAGTACTATAGAATTTTAAAACATTTAATTATATCTTACGTGGACCCAAATAAGCTATTTTTCTATGCTTTATAGGAATTCAGATCTTTGAATTTATATAAGTATTTAGAGTCTTATTCCAAGATTCTGCTGACAGAGCAGGATTGTAAAATGTTACAATTTCAGTTATGTAGTCCTATAATTTTGTAAAAGATTTTTCTCTCCCTTCTCCCAAACTAGGGCTGGTGTGGATGGAAGGGCCCAGACTTTTGGAACAAGGATGCTTACTATAACTTATGTCTTCCCCAGCGACCAAATATTATTTAAAATATCTTGGACTCAAAAGACTGCAGTAAAGTTACATAATCAATTTGTTGACAAAGAATAAATTTAATTTCAAATTAAAACCTGGGTATAGTTTGATGGTTTCTATGTTTTTTCCAAAGGTTGTAAATTTTGCATAAAGAAAAGAATTTATTCTTGAGACATTCCTTTAATAAATTAAAAGACAAAGCACGCACAACCAAAACATTATAAGCATGTATATACATGTATTCTTCAACGTTATCTTCGCTTAGAAGAAAGTTTTCTCCTTCTTAGAAGGAGTTTGACACACTGACAAGCCAAAACCCATAGGTTGTAGCTGAGCAGCAGATCCGCATGAAGTGAAAACCTTCTTCACACCTCTTCATAACCAATACGACATCTGTTGTTAAAAAATATACTAACATTAAAAACTTTTTTAAAAAGGTTTCCTCCCCAACCTTCCACTATGCAGGACAGATTTTGGTCTCTAGAATCTAGTAGTAGTAACTGCAACCAATATGAAATTGTGTTAATGAGAATGAAGATACACTAGAAATAAGACTGCCAATATTTAAATGAAATGATGAATCCTGTGCTGATTAAGAGATCCTTGAGGGAGCAAGAAGAAATTACGAGTTACTTACCAACACTTCCTTTTCCCATTTGTATTTTCTTCACTCCCAAAACTTCGTTTCTGTCTGAGCACTGGAACACAATGATCTTTATTGGACTGTTCACTTGATTTTATTGTCTGCATGCCTTTAATTGTTGTAAGAAACTTGGCACATTCTGGAAATCCACATGACCAAGCAAGATCTTCAGCTGTTTGCCCATTCTTATTACATAAACTGAATTTAAGACAAAAAATGAGTTAAGTAACAGTTGACAATTGCTTAGCCTTTTTTTGTATCTTCCTAAAAAAGGCACTTTGGGCTCATACAAATGTTGGTTGCAGAACAGAAGAGGTAAAGGGAGAATAGAGGAATTCCATTTTTGCTCATTATTATATCCTCAATGACTAGCACAGAGTGGGCATCTTTAGAATGAATGAACCAGTATTCTGTGTTCAATACATTAAATAGCTACGGAAAGGAAATCAATAAGAACTTCTATAGAATGCATTTGCTAAATCAAAACTAAGATGTAACACTGCTGTAATATATGAACAGAATTGCACTTAATCGCTTAGGATCCATTTTTTATTTACTTGAGTAGTATCAGATATTATTAACAGCTTAAGTTAACATTCAAATAACACTATCAATTAGGCATCATTTTTAAAAGCACATGTAATTAAGCTGCAGGAGTCTGGTTAGTTTAAACCAAGAAAGTACAAATTTGAAGCCAGTAATTTCATACTTACTCAATTTGGGCGTCACTGGCTACAAGCAGGCTGAGGCATTCCATGCTTCCAACTTTTGCTGCCTTGTGTAGTGGAGCTTCTCCAAAAACATCCTTACAGATAAGACGGCACATTTTAGTCTCTACCCAAAATACTTTCTTTTGAAAGTTGGTAGGTGAAGTCTATTGCTTGAGAAAGCTATTTGAGAAAGACAAAACTGCAGTGTACTGGACTGAATTTTTTAATTTTTTAAATAAAGTTCACTTGGTACCCTATTAAATACAAAGTTGTCATTAATGAAAACGTGCAGCCACAGCTACATACGTTGTTTTAAGTAAATAAAAGCAAAATAGAATTCTACAGAAGTTAAAAAAAAAACTTTTAAAATTAACCATACTTTTAATATTCAATGGAAGGTGCAAACTACCCTAAGAAAGCTCTGTATGAAATTATATTGGTTGTCAGCATGCCTCACGTAGTATTTCAGCTGCTATCCTGAGACTTTTAATTTGGTAATGGAGCAACTGTTACTTTGGCAATGAGCTGCAGACCTTGGAAACGCTGTCCAATGTAGTAGCCGGCAGTCATACATATGGCTAATGAGCACCTGAAATGTGGCTAGTCTAAACTAAAATGTGCTGTAAGTGTAAAATACACACCCGATTGAGAACACACATCAAAAGAAAATGTAAAGTACCTATCAGTAACTGTTACACTGATTACATATTGAAATGACAATATTTTGGATTAATTGGGTTAAGTTACTGAAACTAATTTCATGTTTTGCTTTAGTTCATTAATGTGTCTACTAGAAGTTTTTAAGTTAACAAACGTTCTCAAATTTCTGTTGGACATCGTTGCGACAGTCATGTTTGTAACAGCTGAGAGGACTGGATATCTTGGCGTCTACGAAATGTTTGTGCGGATCTAGGGTGGAAGGGAGGGTTGCACACAGCAACAGTTACCTAGTTACCTGTTGATTGAGGTCAGCTCCCGCCTGCAGCTGCCAGAGAAGAAAGCAAGCAAGGCCGCCACCTGCGGCCAAGTGGACAGGCGACTGCTCGCAGGGATCTGGGGGTGCGTTGACGGAGGCCCCGGTCTCCAGCAGATGCTTCAGACTATCCACCTGCGAGAAAAGAACAGCTCCAGCACCCCTCTCACCTTTGTCCAGGCTCATGCCCTCCCAGGGTTTAAAATCTTCACCCCACTCTAAAAACCTTACAGCTCCGAAGAGGCTTGACTCGGCAGCGCCCAGTGGTCAGTCCACCATCACCCTAGCTGGCTCTCCGACCCCACAGACATCCGGAAGTTTAAGCCTGCAGGACAAAAGTGTCCCGAGTCTCACCTCTGGGTTGCAATCGAGCAACAGCATTTCCCGCCTGAAGTAGAGAACAGGAGTCCTTGGAAGGAGAGCAGAGCGGTTGGGCACTCGCTGCAGACCGGCAGGAAAAAGCGCGCAGGCCGCCCAAGAGCAGAATTTTAAAGATCGCCAGGGCAAGCGGGCCAGTCCCTCCCCGCCGCGCCCCAGCTCTGGCTGAGCTCCAGCAGCCCAACCCTTGGCTGCCGGGCCTTTCCCCGCCCAGCGGCCGCCGCACGTACGCAAACACTAGCACGTGCAACCGGGAACCAAAGAGGCCGGCGGGGAGCGAGGAGGAGGAGACAGCGCGGGCCCGCCAGCTGATTGGCCAGAGGGGGGGCGTGCCTGGTCCGCCCACCTCGGGGCGGGGCCCTGGGCGACCCCACGGAGTCCCAGTGGGCGTGCGCCGGGAAGGAAGGGCGTCGGGGCGGCTGGGATTTTGAGGCCGCCATGGTGCGCGCCGAGTTCGGCACGTCTCACTCTGGTGCTCAGCCCTTTAGTCCCTTTGGGGAAGCAGGAGTCACTGGCGGAGGTTTTGGTTTCTGCTGGCACGCACGTAACCAGGAAGCCAGGGAGCTACGAGGAGCTCGGTGGCAACACCACCTTAGGAAGCTGCTACGCGTGGTTAACCCAGCCTCCGGGCCTTGAGGAATGAAAAGTTCCTTCTGCCTCACGTCGCCCCAGGCTTGCCTCTGTCGCCAGGCCCTGGGCATTTAGGGAGAAAAGGGAGCTGGGGTGCGAGGTGGGGGTGGAGGAGTAGCCAAGGTGAGCTAAGAGGATAGGTTTTCCCACAGGGTCTGCCCCACCTACTCCCCCAAATTAAGCAATTTTATCAAACCAGACCCTTTCGGGTTTAAAATACCACAGCCGTACAGGGAATTATGTAAAATGAGCCAACCATTGTAAGGTGTCCCCCCCCCAGCAGCTAGGTTCTGCGCACTTCTGACTTGCCTGGGGAAATGTGGCGTGGCCACCTGTTAACCCTGAGCTTGCTGAGACGGGCGAAGGAGGAGGAAACGTGCTTGCCTCCCACTCATCACGGGGGAGTTCGTGGATAAACGTCGGGACCAGGCCACCGGCGTTTATGACCCATGGGACTTATCCCCGGGGCAGGACTCACCGTACCTCTGAGCTGCTCTTGGGGGCAAAGCAGGGTTGGGGGTAAAAGAGCTCTTCACACTCTAGCTTGAGACTTTCCTTTTTGTAAAACTTTAGAAACAGATTTCCTGACATCGTACCGTAGCCGTTGACCACACATCTAATCTCTGGACTCGTTTTTTGGTTGTTTTTTTTTTAAGGGCTTTTTTTCAGATTGATCTAGTGAAAAGCTGAAGATCCAGCCATAGATTTATTTTCTCTAACATCTTCAATGATTCCCTTCTGTCTATTGATAACCTTTGAGAGCAGGACTGAAAAATAGTTTGTTGCTATGCTTTTACAGGACAAGCTCAGGTGGCCTTTAGTTCTGTTTTTTGTTACAATTTATTCTTTATTTGACAATAGGAGCCATAAAATAATTTTGCAATAATTTATATTACTAGACTTACACACTGATCCAAGGCGTTGACTGAAAGAAAAATGCACAACAGGAGAGTTGTGAGTTGTTTTACTCAGGGTGTTAACTGAGGACTATAGCCCCGGAGGCAGCCTTCAGATAGCTCTGAAGAAACTGCTCCAAAGAGGTCCTGGAGGAGACTAGTTTACATGTGATTCTTTTGTTGTTAGGGAGTACATGCAGTCAGCATATAGGTGAAAGGTAAAAGATCACTGCTAGTCACAAAGAACAAGTAACTGAAGTTAATGACTGTGGTGCTCTTCTATGTATGGAAAGATGCAAGAAGCCGGATTCATTCAAATACTTCAAAATACATCTGTCTAAAGGCCAGTTTGTACAAAGCACAGAGCATGCCGTTAGCCTTTTCAGTTTCCTCTGTCTGAGGCACAGAGTGCTTCATCCAGTTGTCACCTTCATCTCTTTGAAGCACCGAATGCACTGTTGGTCAGCGACTACAGCAGGTTAACCTTTGAAGACTTGGATGGTGAGCAGAATGCTATTTGCTCTTCTTTTGTTTGCAAAGGGGTAGTTTTAAACATTTTTTAATGCATACTTGAACATAAACATGTATATGTATTTACATTCAAACACATACATAGAATTGTGCTTGTGTTCTGTATTTTTTATATTTAATCTATTCACAGTATCTTCTTATGACATTTAAGGAACATCAGCAATATGTGAGAACACATGTCCATATTACCAAGTTTCCTTTTCTTGTGTTTTTCAATTAGATAAGTACTATTTTTCAAAGCATATAATTAAGCTTCAAGTTTGCACAGATGTTCATTCTCAGAAATTCCTAACTAATATAAAGTATTATCGGAGAAGTTCTTAGAATTCTAAACATACGTACTGCAGTTAACATATGCAGTCAGACATTTGTGTGATGTATGCGCCTCTACATTACATCATTTTTCTCGAAAACAATATTCTGTTCAGCATGCATTAAATCTGGTAATTACTGTTAACTCGTTACATATGTAAGTTTCACGAGGAAAGGGAATTTTGTGAGTCGTTAAAGCTTTTGTCCCTTTATTCACTGCATACTTGTCTACTGCTCATAATGTTTCAAAAAAAATTCTTTATGGCTCAACAAAGTGTCTGGTTTTCTCTTAGAAATGGGCCTAAAAGCTTTCTAAAAACTGAACAAAGCTGGTGGAATACAAAAATATACAGAATAAATACATTTGGTGGGCAATATCCTGCTGGCAAGTGATGAGTTTTTACTGAACACATAGCAGGTGGGATTGCTTTTCTAAGGTAGGAGATGGTCTAAGATGCAAAATCAGCAGGCACTCTTCTAACCAGTGCTAATTCTACTTACGTTTAATTTGCTGGTAGATGTGTTTCCAGGAGGAATATATAGAATACCTTCAGAAAAAGCAAGCATTATATTTTTTCTGTAGGCCATAGCTAACTGATACATTTGATATATAATTTATTTAGTGTAGAAAGTTGAAACTCATTTTCTTACAGTAACTCAAATTTGTCAAGATTTGTTAACATCCTATTCAAATTAATCTTTGTTCCTAAGAGGAAGAAAAAATATAGATAAAATGCTGGTTTTACTAATCAAATAATTTTAAACAGTGAGTAACAGTAATATATGACATCAAGATAAGTTTTACTCAAAGCATTTATCTAATATTCTGTGATTTCCAGCTACTTTAAATTATGTGTATTTTAAAAATAAAACAACTGAATTTCAAACTTTTGACACATTTTCCCAAATTATCTAATAAATTATTTTTATTATCCAATTATTTTATGCAGGTCCAACTGATAACATAAATTTCTTACATGCTTAATGTTTTTTAAGAACTAAGTTACCACAATGTTACCTAGTCCAAGCGTGTACTGCTTGCCACACAACAGGCCAATAAATTGAGAGACAAGTTGTTGGGGCAAAGGAAACAACTTTATTTGGAAAGCCAGCAGACCGAGAAGATAGTAGACTAGTGTCCCAAAGAACCATCTTACCTGAGTTAGAATTCAGGCTGGCTTTATACTAAAAGGGGAAGGGTTAAAATCAAACATTTCCTGGTTCCAGTCTACCTGGAGAGGGGATGTGTTCATTTCTTCCTTCCTGCCGTCATTCACAGGCGGGCCTGGTCAGGATGTTTCCTGTGAGCTAAACAAAGGTATTTTAGCTTAATACTTATTACCTGGCAAGCAGAGTTCCCAGAGGTGGGCCATTATGTATAATCTAAGTTTATAGACAACATCCCTTTAGTGATTAACAAGCAATAGAATACAAAGTTTAAGGTAAAAGAAACAGATCTAATGTAGAGTCAGATTTGTTCTTCCCTATCACAAAAATACTTTGAGAGTTCCTTGTATAAGTGCCATTAAGCATAGAAATTACCTAGATTAATAGTGATGTTTGGAAGTTCATGAAATCTGATCTCTTGCCCAAAGGAATTGAGAAATAGGTGTGAGATGATACTATCTGTAACCTATGGGTTGTCTAAGAACATGGGGTGGAGACAAGCAAACTTGTGGGGCTGCTCATGATTCTTCTATGAAAGATTAACCCAGCTTTCCTGATCAGTGAGGCTCTCATCGTCATTAGGACAGCAGGTCAATTTAAATTTGTGTTGTTACAGACTTTTGTCACTTCCCCTTATGATTGCTCAACTGTCACCACACTTTGCAGATAATGAGCAATTATTACACATTGGAGAATTTACTTACGTATTTTACTACCTGACCCCTGGAAGTAAATCATTAAGGAGTGTCACTATAACAGCATCGGCGCTTCTGTACAAATAAGCTTCCATAAACTCAGAAAATAAACAGACAGTCACTAAATGATATTGCTGTTCATTTATCTTTGGATGTTGAGTGAATCCCCTCAGGAAAGGACCAAGTAGTCCTAACTGGCCAAAAAATGTTTCCACACAGTGGGAACAGCGCAGTGGGGGCATTTGAGTCCCACATAATTGGCATTAAGAATTTGAACAAATTTGTTTTTCTTACAATGTTTTATTTGCTTATATATTAGAGAAAAATAAAATTAAAAAGCTACTAGGATCTCCCATCCAGTGTTTACCACCTCTTTTATCTGGTAGTAAAAGACATCCTGTCTCTTCTCCTACTTTTTTTTTTTCTCATTTCAGGTCATAATGTTGTAAATTTACCACACCCAAAAGGAAGGGCATGGGGGGAAAAAAGCACTTTTGTTTTAAATAAACAAATGGAACTAGCTGGAAAAGGGGGGTGGGGAATAAAGAAAAAATAGAAAGCTATTGCCTGATTCAGTATTATCTTCTGATATCTCAGTAATAATTAGAATAATCTTTCTAAGTTTCATATATGCATAGATTATGCTTCCAGTTAATATATGAAGACTACATTTTTAAACTCCCGTTGGACAATGGCAATGAAAGGAACAGTGAACACAGGCCTTTGTACTTTGTACACAGGCCTGGTAAACATCGCATGAAAGAAGCCAGACACAAAAGGCCACATACTGTACAATTCCATTTTTATGGATATGCAGAATAGACAAATCTGTAAAGACAGAAAGTAGATGAGTGATTGCCAGAGCCGAAGGGAGGGAGAGACTGGGGAGTGATGCTAATGTCTACAGGGTTTCTCTCGGAGTGATGAAAATGCTCCGGAATTAGAAATTGGTGGTGGTAGCACAACCTTATGCAATTAACATTCACAGCAGCTGGAGACGGGCACCAGCTAATAAAGACCGGGAAGGTCATCACCAGCGTCCACTACACCTGCCCTTCCTTTTAAAATCATATATTTCTTTCAGATTTTACGTCTTTGATTAATGTCTACAATTTCTATCCTAGCATGTTCTAAGTTTACTGCATGCTCTGCAAACAATTGTCAAGTTTCAAATGATAATTTTATATCTAAACACAAGATTTGGCAGAAATAAACACATACTCTTGCTTTTTTAAATATTCTCAGTTCTCATTTTCTGAAATTAAAAAGTACTAAATTTTGACTTACCCTCTTACAGGAGTCCTGCCACTTTAAACAATCGTGTTAGTTCTGCTTTTTGGAGAAGAGTATGGAATAATGATGAAGTACACAGGTGCTGTGTCATCCCAGTGCTGTGTCACTTTCCAGCCCTGTGACCTGAGGCAAGTGACTTAATTTCTTCACTGGTGCCTCAGTTTCCTCATATGTTTAGTGGGCCTCATAATAGCTTCAGTTTTTAAAGTTTTTATAGGCGTTAGCACCTGTAAAGCACTTAGAACAAAGAACAAGTCCTGGCATATAGTAAGAGCTCAATAAATCTTTGCTTATATTTTCTAGATCCTCTCCAAATCTTCTTTTAAGATACAGCAAATAAAAACCATGTGCAGTATTGTAACTACAGAGGGCAACATGAGTTTAAATGAGATAAGGTCTTGTTTTCTGATTTGTTTCATTTCTGATGACCTTCCTGAATGTGCCAACTTTTTTCTTAGCCTTTTTGGATGCAGTAGCACAAGGGGGTAATATCTTCAGTGAAATTAAAAACTTCTATAACCAGTTTCTGAGTAAACTGATGGTGCTAGCTACCTCATCCCGATTGGATTGTCTTTTCTTCTAAATACTTTACCTAATATTGCTTCACCCTAAATTTCACTGGAAACATTTATATTTTACTAGTACAGCCATAGATTTTTGGAATCACATAATCAAATAATCTTACGTATCTAGGAACAGACATTTGGAAATCCTCTAGTTCAAACTACTTACAGTCCAAACTACAGATGAGGAAATAGACTCTTAAAAAGAGTAACTGACTCTTCCAAAATCGCTGATATTTCAGTGATTTTTTTCTTTAGTGTACTGAATCATCTCCTTTTTCTGCACTTCATTCTCATTAAGAAGCAATTTATTGTCTAAAATAGTATCATAAAATTGTACAGATGCTGCTTTCCAATCATACTAACAGTCTGCTGAGTTCTTCTCTTCACCCCCCATCAGGAACCTCTGCTGGAAGCTTGTTCCTGATTGGTGAACGCCTGCTGTAACAGTAGAATTCCAAAGAGTAAACAGAAAAGCATAGCAACCAGGGCGTTGGCTGTCTCACTCCCCTCAGCCTAGGCCACCCTGAACTCCTTCATCCCAAATGAGGGGGCCTCTACATTTTATCTGAAGGCTCTGATTCTCCATTCAGCTGTGATCCACCTTGTAACATGGCAATCCACTACAGACGAGAAGATAAAACTGAACAGCACAGCTGAAATAAAGTGTATTCCCAGGTAAAGTGGACAAATGCTTTCATTTGAGATGGACTGGTCTGATGAGCTTTAGTTACAAGGCAACAGGAAGGGACCAGTGCACAAGAACTGTGTCTATGGGCAGTGTCACCAGTTCCTCCTACTGGCAGCAGCTGTGGTGGGTGACATGACTCAGCGGAGTGTGTGATCTCAGAGCCAGAGAGGACTTGCGAACAGTTCTTAACGTGAACTCCATGCTGTGGAAACAGACCCGGAGGAGGGCTGTGCCTCTCATAGCTGTGGAGGGTCCTGGTTTCCTAAGAAACAATGTTCAGTGTTGGCACCCTGTCCATAGGTAATGAGGAAAGGATGCTTTCCATAATGACTGCCAAGTGGGAGTGGAGTCTCCTTTGCAGTTTTCTGGAGGAAGATTAGTCTACCATCTTATTTTTTTATTCTTGTTTACAGAATACCTATTGTGGAAACAGGATGAAGTTGACCAGTGAAAAGTTGCCCAAGAACCCCTTTTATGCCTCTCAATCCCACTATGCTGCTAAGAGCCCAAAACTCTTCCAGTGGAGAAAGGAAAAGACTGGTACAAATCTTGATAATATTTCCACTAAAAGTTAATCATGTATGCCAGAATAAAAGCGGCAAGAAATATGAGTCCATTGCTGTCAAGGAAGTAGTTAACTTTACTGTCCTTTTTAGCTTTTCTGTAAGAATCTGTGAAATTGCTACTGAACTTAACTGGTAGCAGATCATTAGTAAAGAAGTTTCATAATTAGATCCTGACCTTGATTTTACTCTCAGGACTTTAGGATTCCCTTCTGGAAAAGAGAAGCCGGATGCCACTTCCTATTAAAGAGAACAATGCCATTTAAAGTTACCATTTTTTTTCTATAGACCTAAAAAATTAAATTGGGGATGGTTAGCTCATTTACTTAGAGTAGGTCCGTTAAGGCTCAAAGTAAGAATTTCACTCACCCACAGGACAGCTTTGCCTAAAGAACTGCACGTAGACTGCACTGCTAGAGCGCCTGCCTATTAGTAAAGAGGGTTAGTTTGACGACCAACCAACATACAGCCCTGATTATAGAAGGCACAGTGTCAGGTGCTATGATAGTACTTTTTGTTTAAGGTGGTGCTTTTTCCTTGAACTAAGGAAGTCTGTTTTAGGAATGAGAACTAGGAAAAAATGACTATAAATAGCATCAGATGAATTCTATATAATTTATGACTTCAAGAGAGAAAATTCATGTTGTATAGATAAAGATGGATTTCTTTACCTTTTTAAAATCAGATCATTACAGCCATGCTGATTTGGTGGAAAAGGCATTGCAGCTCTTGAAGGAGAGAATAAGAAGAGGGGATGCTCTGGCATATTTCCTACAAGGTCAACTGTATTTTGAAGAGGTATCATTTGTGTTGATTTGTTTTCGTTTCATATGAAGCTGCCGTTAGAGCCTCATAGCAAAAGTACCTGCCGAGTTCCTTACATTGTTAAACCAGGGAAATTCTGTCAAATTCCACAGATTGTGGTTGTGGCTTTAAGTATGATACATTGGTCCCAGCTTAAGGAGATACCTGATCTTTCTCCATAAAAGTCCTTCTAATGAATGTCACTTAGAGGAGTCATTTTGGTATAAAAATCTATTTTCATATGATAAATTAAAAATCTAATTTTTATATTTTTGCCCCAAATTTTCAGTATAATTCATAAAATATTTTCATATTAATAACAATTGAAAATCCTGATTCTTATCTAGTACTTAAAGTAGCTTTAGATGTTTCTCTTTGGAGTAAGGAGGGAATTACTCTCTTTGTCCACATTATGATAGGTCTTCAGAGCAGGTCTAGGAGGACCTGTGCAAAGTATCACTCCAATCTCAGTAATACAGCTTCAACTTTCCATTGAACCCAAGGGAAGATGTGAAAAAGGACCAGCTGTCCCCAGTCCTTCACTATGTTTGGGCAGCTGTTCACCTGTATCTCACTTACTAATCTTTTGATAGCACCTTCATTCATTCTGGGAACAAATATTTGTTGAAGACTCATCATGCACCTGTCACTACAAGAATCACATAACATACTGGTTAAGCAATGATCTTTCAGCTTCGGGCATAGTTTCAAATATGGCTCTATTGCTTGTTAACTGTGTATCCTTGGGCACACAGTTAATCTCTTGGTGCCTCAGTTTCCTCACCTGTAAAAGCAGGATAATAGTATGTGTTTCATAGAGCTATTGTGAGGATGTATTAATTGTGAAAAGACTAACAGGGCCTGGCACCTAGTAAGTGCTTTGTAAGTATTTGCTATTATTATGCTAGGCACTAATTATATAGTGATGAGGGAGTTAGAATGGTCCCCATTTCACAGAGGTTACAGTCTAGTGGAGGAAGAAAATAATTACTATATAATTACAAATATGCTAAAGTAGAAGGAAAGCAATTAAATGGGTACTCTGATAGAGAATTACTTAGGGGTGGGGGGAAGGACTTGAAGGAAAGGAAACAGGCAATGCAAACAGCCATGGGGAAGTGAATTCCAGGTAGAAGAGAGAACAAATGCAATGTTTCTCAGATGAGAGAGAGTCTGGTGAGCTCTGGGAATTAGGAGACCAGTACAGTAGGAAGCAAGGCAGAGAATGGCTCTAGATGAGCCTTGTTTAAAATGTAGTGAGAAGTCGCTGAAGCATTTTGAGTCTGTGATGAGTGGATTGGAAGGGAATCATGGAACCAAGACCAGTTCAGGGGGACATTATACTAGTTTGGGCAGGAGAGTTTGGTGGTCTTGACCAGAGTGTTAGCAGTGCAGCTGGGTCCTGGATTTATTTTGGAGACACAAGTAATGGCATCAGGGACTGAAAAACAGAGAATTGGGAGGAGCGAGTTTTGAGGAGACCATAAGGAGTTCAGTCTTGGGACATTTTATGTTTGAGAGTCCCCCTTGGTCATCCAAGTAGACAGGTTTCAAAGTAAAAACTACAGATAAGAGTCTAGATCTCAAAGGAGAAGACTGAGTTGAAGGTGTATGTATTTTCCAGCATGTATACGGTATTTAAAATCAAGAAAACTCACAGGACTTCCTTTCTCTTCCTTTGTATAGAGTATTCTAACTTTTCCAGTCCCCTTGTGTCTAGGCCAAATATTAGCCAGAAAGGAGAATGAATCTTTACAACTCAGTCATTTACTCATCATTATGGGTTAAGATAAATATTAGTTAGTATTTTGATGCAGTTTTTACTAATTGTATCAATTTCTTGATTAATTACAGTTTATGAAAAGAGAAATTCAATTGTGTTTCCAAAAGTTGTTTTTCCCTGGCCTGCTCCTCCTTAGTAATGACCTTCCAACTCACTAAGAGACTCTCTTTCCCCTATTGCAAATGATTCACCCTTTAGCAAGGCATTTTCCATGATGGATTAAGCTATAAGCCCCTTGTTGTTCCTTACACCTTAGCATATTTGTTATTCTGTCCTGTAACTCTGAGGGGCCTTAAATGAATGACATGTAACATGTAGGTTTTGTAAAGGAAGTATGGGAGGAAGATAGTTTTGGAGAATCACACTTTTGTTTTTCCATGTCTTCTCCCTAGCTGGAAAATGGCAAAATTGGAAGATTTGAGTCATATAATAGTGGATATCCTTTTTATATTTTCTATGAGACTTTGGCACCAGCTCTGAAGCTTCACGGATCCTGGGAGTGGTGGGTGATGCAGCAGGCCGGAATGAGCAGAGGGCTAGGCTACCACTTAGACAGAGGCTTGGCAGTAGCCAAGAATAAGACTGAAAGCTGTAGAATCTCACCCAGATTCCTCTTGGTCACTTCTCTCAGTTGCCATATTTAGGTTTATTTAATTGGTTTTATAGTTTATTGATTGTTGTCAATAACTTAAATTTGTGCTGTGTTTTGTTGTTTTATTTGGTGCTGCTAGCTAGATTTAGGTGGGAATTAAGTATTTGGGGTTACTGTAAGATAATAATGAAAATAATTCACTTTTTCCTGGGAGCTTATAGGGCTGGTATGAAGAAGCATTAGAACAGTTTGAAGAGATCAAGGAAAAGGACCATCAGGCTACTTACCAGCTAGGAGTAATGTATTACGACGGCCTGGGGACGACCACAGATGCTGTAAGTTACTGTTTTGTTCACAGTGTTTAAGATTTCATCGTTTATGGATTATTTGATACATTTAAAATTATTTAAATTTGGGTGGTAGGGTATAGCTCAGTTGGTAGAGCGCGTGATTAGCATGCACAAGGTCCTGGGTTCAATCCCCAGCACCTCCTCTAAAAATAAATAAATAAGTAAACTTAACGACCTCCCCCCTCAAAAAATAAAATAAAATAAATTTTTAAAATAAAAATATTTTTAAATAAATAAAAAAATATTTATATTTTAATAATATATTTCTATACTTATATTTCGATACTATCTACTCTTTTAGCATATAGCGTGAGGAGTTTTCATAAAACAGCTGACATGTGCTGAATTTTCAAAGACCAGCATGTAAGGGAAGGAGTGGCATTTAGACAGGTGAAGCAACACCAGCAGTGTTGGGGGAACCTGCTCCAGTAGCCGAGATCCAACTTCCTAAGCTTTTGTTTTGTTTTGTTTTCGCACATTTCAGTGTATTGACTGAAGTAATCTTGGAACCCTTACCCATTAACTGTGCTGTATATAGATAGGCAGCGAGGCACTGGAAAGCTTTCCATATAGGAACCTGGGCCAGAACAGTAACCGTAATACAACTACACATCCATCTAATCATACTCTGAGGCATTTGCCACTTAGTCTCTCAAACCATTATATCCTGTGATATACACCACGTAATTTAAGTCAGAAATGTAAACTGACATACTAATTGCATGAATCTTTTGTGATCTTCAAATAATAAAGCAGGTTTTAGGGAATTTACATTTAAATAGTATCATGGCTATGTCATGGCACAAGTTATAGAATGACTTAACATGGAGTTTAGAAATGGGTCCTTGGAAATGGTAACAGAGGTAGGATAATACTCATAGCTGTATCTTTTTAAAACCTTTAAACAAACAATCTAATAGAAAAATGCACAAAAACAAAAATAATAAACAATTTGAATTTACCAAAGAAATAGTAAATCCCCAAAGCAATTTGGAGAGCAGTGAAAAATATTTGCTGCACAAATGAGAGTCTGATGACTATTTTGTTAATTTTCTGGCTATATAGTTGTTTGTTTTAGTAGTTGCTCTAGAGATTACAATATGCATTTTTAACTTAGCACAATTTACACGAAGTGAATACTGAATTACTTCAGGTATAACGTAGGAACCTCGCAGAAGTATGCTTTCATTTACCACCCCCTATTCTTAGTGCCGTTTGTCACGGCTTGTGGATTAAATTTACATGCTATAAATCCCGAAATACAAAATAGTGTTATGTTGGCTTTAGTCATATCTTTTGGGAAGAATTTAGAGGAAAAACACACACACGTGCATGTATACATGTGTCTGCGTCTCCTTTTACATTTGTACACATCGCTGTTTCTGGGGCTCTTCATTCCTTCCTAATCTGACACCACGTTCCTTTTCCTTTCAACCTAAAGAACTTCCTTTAAAGGGCACTTCTTATCCAGAGTGCAGATAATGAGTTATCTCCGATTTTGATTACTGAAAAATGTCTTGCCTGCCTTCATTCCTGATGAACTGTTTTGCTGGTTGAGTTTTTTCCTTCCTCACTTTAAAAATGCCTTTCTAAACCCTTTGGGCCTTCATTCACTCTCATGAGAGGTCACTCTCTGGTTGTATTGTTGTTCCCTGTATATAATGTGTCATTTTCCTCTGGCTATTTGCAAGATTTTCTGTGGCTTTCAGCGGTTTGCCTATGATGTGTGCCTGGGAGGGAGTCTTTGTTTAAAATCCTGTCCGGGGTTCACTGAACTTCAAGGATCCCTTTCCATTGCAGTTTTCAAGAGTTATTCCTCTTCCAGCTTGTGTTCGCTTTCGGTAAACTTTCCATTGTCTTTAAAAAGTGGTTCTTTATGTTTAATCATTACCAGCTGTGGGGGGTTTACACTTCAGTCTCCTACCATTATACCACAAGTTCTCTCTCACTAACAAATGGTAGACACCTGCCTCACACATTTACAGAAATAAATCCATGTGATCTGGGACTTTACTTACAAGTAAAACATCTTTATTTTCTCATCTATTACTGTGTTGTTTAGCTGGCAAGAGCACTTTGAGAGAGCAGTGAGGGGGTAAAAGTTAGAATGCAGTGTATAAAAATGTACTTGACTGTGAAATATTATTTTCTTCTTTGGAGTGATTGTTGAAGGCTTTGAAACTGTGGGTTAAATGCATTGATTTTTGAAGCTTTTGACACTATGGGTTAAATGCACTTCACCTGCCTTCACTAATCAAGGTGGATTTTAAACTTGCATGTCCTAGAGGCCTCATGTAGGCTAAATAATCTATTTGCCTGAGTGGTTGTCTACAGACTTGCAGTCAGCTGCCTCTAGTTCGAGCTGAGCTGGTTAGGACCGCCCACCCTCCAAATGGGCATCCACCAGTGTCCGTTGGTTGGTGACCTTTTGAACGTGCAGAGGCCTGTAGCTTGGTTACACCTGCAAAGAACTAAGATTTCCTGCATCTTTTTCCAATCACCTTTCCCCACGCCTCCCCACACCTCATACTGCCCTGCTGCTCGTTATCCCATGAACACCTTGAGCTCCTTGCCTTTGGGGAGGCAGGTTTGAGATTTGTTCTCCCAACTCCTACTTGATTGACTTGTGACTAAGCCTCTCTTTGCTGCAAACCTCAGGGTGTCCGCGTCTTGGCTCGCTGTGCATTGGGCAAGATGAACTGGGGTCTGTAAACAGTTTGTGTCTGGGTTTTTTGGAGGGGGCAAGCCTTTTGTTGCTAGCGCTTAGAATGTCTTCTGTGCTTTGTGACCATGCAGATGTCACAAGATGAGTGTATGAGATGTAAATGGTCGCTGGGCACACCTAGTGAAAGTATGTTGAAGAGAGAAGACAGTATTTAGGGGCTCACACATGTACTGTAAGCATTGTTCATGTAAAAGGCTGGCCGTTCGTGCACTTTGCCAAGTTCTAGAAACTGCCAATTCAGAAAAAGGGCTACGAGACGAGAAGGAGAAAAAGGGAAACCATATTGAGACATAATCCGATCCTGGAAGCTATAAAATGAAGGGAGTGCTTGACTTCCCAGAGCTCCTGGGAGTGCTGACTCAGGAGACAGACTGACTTCTAGCCCTGCGGAGCCCAGGACAACATGCTGGCTACGCACAGACTTATGACATTGACTTACGACATTATACACGTCAGAGGGGGAACGCTCTACAGCACTATTGGGAGGAAGAACTCAGTTTGGGTAAAACTAAACTAGGATTTTTTGTTGTGTTCTCTTCCTTCATGGAAGGAAAAAGGAGTGGAATATATGAAGAAAATTATTGATTCTCCATGTCCCAAAGCAAGACACTTAAAATTTGCAGCAGCTTACAACCTTGGAAGAGCTTATTATGAAGGAAAAGGCGTTAAACGATCAGATGAGGAAGCCGAAAGGTAACCTGAACTGAGAAGATTCTGTATTAATCAAATGCTGAAGCAAAGAATGACTTGCCCTGCCCTTCTCTTTCAGACTGTGGCTTTTTGCTGCCGACAATGGAAATCCAAAAGCTAGTGTGAAGGCTCAAAGTATCCTAGGATTGTATTATTCAACAAAGGAGCCCAAAGAGTTAGAGAAGGTAACAGCAATCTATTTGCTTCACTCCTCGCATCACGTAGAGATTAACATTTGTTCCACTATTTCTTTCACGAAGGGAGGGTGGTGAGGACTAAGTGTGTATCTTAATACTTCTTTAAAATGTAAAGAAAGCTTACATTTCAGGATCTCCAAGCTCACTTCACCCTTTCCTCTACTATGAAGGCTGCCTTCCCTGCCTCTACCAAAGGACAATACAGGTGTGAGCATTTTGTGTGCTATAAAAAAGCACACATCCAAATATTCTACCATAGAAAGTAAAAGACGAGGGAGAGTAAATAGTCTCTTTAATCATCAGTAATGGGAACCCTTTCCAAGATCTCTTACAGGAAGAAGGAAATGAGGAGGCGTTAAGGGCAAACTTGGAAGAGGTACATAACCACCAAGACCCTTGTCTGATAACTGAGCAGCTACTTGGAAATTTAAACTAACTCAACTTCACTGTAGCTGAGTATTAAGCAAACATTCTTAAGATGTTCTGTCCTCGGTGCCCTTGGTCCTGCTAGAGCGCCGAGTGGATCTGAGGGAGCGGCTGTCCCTCAGGCATCAGCCGCTCCCTTCTCCCCACTGCACCTCATCACAAAGCCTGTCAGACACTTAGCTCCTGCTCCCATCTGCTTGACCCTTCCTCTGGAAAAGCTGAATCGTGAAGCCTAGGACAGCTGAGCTCTGGAGACCCGCACCGTGGGCAGGCCTGGAGCAGGCTCCCCTCAGCAGCCCCCCTTAGGCACGTGAAACTGGTGCTGCCCCAAGTACATTCAAGAGGCCGGAACGATGTCCTAGAGATCAAAGAATGGTTCTGTCTTAGAGAGATTTTTCTTCCAGTATTCTCTCATAGTTCCACCTTGTGAATAAGGTGGGACTGTGGTTTTCCTTAGGCATTTTATTGGCATTCAGAAGCTTGCGGCAATGGAAACCTGGAGTCCCAGGGTGCACTCGGGCTCATGTTCTTGTACGGACAAGGCACCCGGCAGGATACTGAGGCCGCGCTCTGCTGCCTGAGGGAGGCGGCGGAGAGGGGCAACGTCTACGCTCAAGGGAGTCTCGTGGAGTATTACTATAAGGTCAAATTCTTCACCAAGTGTGTCGCGTTTTCCAAAAGGTGAGTAAGTCGGATAAAAGTACCTAGAAACTCTGACTAGAAGTTTTGTGCCGCTGACCTCGCTGCAGTATTGGACATGCCGGCCAGGAGCACTCGAAATGCGGCCAGTGCAACTGAAGACTGAACTTCAGATTTTCATTGGATTTTAATTTAAACAGCCACAGTAGCTAGTGGCTACCACGCTGGATAGAATATCTGTGCTGTCAGCCTGAGGGATTTCATTTCAGGGCCTTTTGCTCTACAGAGCAAAGTGATCTTTGTATACCAGCTGAGTGATCCTAATCGATGCCCCTGAAGTTAGACTTGTTTTGTAATCCTACAGTATTTTCTTCATAAAAACTAGTATATATAAAATATTTTAATATTTCTGATGTGCCAATCTATGTTAAACTTCTCCTTCCTCCGCCATAGGTTCTGTAACTACACAAAGGCAATATAGTTTGAGGGCTGTAAAATGAAAATGGTTAAGACTCTTAAAGCTAACACCTTATGAAATATGGAAATTTTTCTGAGGCTGTGTACCTTCCTACATGTATTTATGCACAATGTACAAATGCATGACACCGGGAGAGACAGACGTGGATGTCCTCTAGAGTGACTGTGAGATGCTCATACTCCCCTCCTGCAGCGCCCTCCCGACAGAGCCCACAGGCTCCCCCATCCCCCAACCCAGTGTAAGGCCCACAGCTACTCTGGGGAACGGAAGGAATGGCTTCTGCCCTCTCCTCCTCAACATCTTGGCCTCCAGTGGCAGGCCACTTAAAGGTGTGATCTCCAATGTCCCAAATCTCCAAGTGCCCATCTGGCTCGAACTAAGACTTCAAATAATTCTTTATTGGAACTTTCCATTATTGTCTCTGTTCCTTTTCCCATAATATTACAGTTGACATGGAGTTGACACATCTCATTTTCATCTAATTCTCCGTATCTGTATCTGGATTATAAAGAGGGACTTTTTATTGCCCATTTTTAATGGAGATGTGCAAGTTTCCTAAGGTGTCTTCTGGTCCTGTGTGACTAAAGTCCAAGTTTAAGGTTGAGCTTTAAATAAATGACCCAAAGAAAGAGAAAAAATGCTTTCTCTCCATTGTTTAAATCTGCAAAGTGATATCCGTATTTTAAACCTTTACATAAACTCTTGTTTCCTAGAGGTTAAGCCTGACGAGGACAATCCTAGGGGAGCTGTAAAGTAACCGCTGAAGTAGCTCCTCTTCTCCTGGTGTTAGCTGACTAGTGTATTTACCCTTAACCACACAGCAAACAACTTTGTTCTCAAACTGGAAGGAATGATAGGGAAATCACTGGGGCACAAAGATAGTTTCCAGGCATGTTTGTAAGAATGTAAACTCTAACTGATACCCTTTTTAATTCCACAACTGGATGTTGTGACAGGATTGCTGACTACGATGAGGTTCACGATATCCCTATGATAGCGCGGGTCACAGACTGCCTCCCGGAATTCATCAGCAGAGGCATGGCCATGGCCTCTTTCTACCACGCGCGGTGTCTGCAGCTTGGCTTGGGTATCACAAAGGATGAAGCGACAGCTAAACACTATTATTCTAAAGTAAGCCTGAGAACAAATATAAATTGACTCCAATAGGAATTCCTGGGCTTTTAGTTGAGACTTAAACATCTCTATAAATTAGTGGGGTTATTCCCCCCTGCTTATTGTGTAGATAACCTGTCTACTGAGAGGCTGTCAGACGTGGAGCCTGTTTGCAGACAATTCTGTCATTCTTAACATTATTAAGCTCAGATGGTACAATTTCTATTTTTGATGCAAATTATTTGACTCTACCTGCAGCCTAAGGCCCAGCACTGAGAACTTAAAGCCCGAACAGAATGTTCATGCCTTTCACCCAGAAAAAGTATGAATCTCTATCTTCATTCTAGGGCCTTAGAGTACATTTCATTAAAGTTTTTGACGTATGACATCTACCACACTTAGGTAGATATTCAAGAGTTTGAGGTAATCAGTTAAAATAAGCCTTTTTATGTTTTAATCCACACAATCAATTTATTTAGGTCCTGAGTGGATTTCACATCTAAAATCAAGAACTGTTAAAAAGAGCAAAGAGATTGTGAAAAGAAATCATTATGAATAGTAACTGCAAGTTCCTTTTTAAAGAAAACAAAAAATTGCACACCTTGGGTTCATAACATCCATGAAGTCCAAATTAGAGTTACATCATAAAACTTACACAGCAATTCGTGTAGTGCACAAATTATCAGCTGGAAGAGGAAAACAAGGAAAGGAACAATTTTCTAGGTCCTTTGCCTGACTCTGATCATATTACAGCAGTGGTTCTCAAACTTATCTGCATATTAAAATCACCTTGGGTCTCTGAAATTCCAAAGCCCAGGCCATATTTCAGAACAATTAAATCACCGTCTCCTGGAGTGGGACCCAAACATATTTGTTGAAGCTCACCAGGGATTCCAACGTACAGGTAAGTTTGGAACCCTAAATTTTGTTAGAAATTAAAATTTCCAGAGTATTAAACCCACATCAACACAAATATAGGAACACAGCACAAAAATACAACTGACCTTTGAGATATTTACCATGACACCATTCTATTAGTATCAGTAATTGTCTTAATTTTTAAAAACCTAAACGTTTTGTGTATTATACTGATTTCCAAACCAAGTCATTTTGGGATTCTATGCTATCCTTAATATCCTTTCCAAACGAACATAAGCAGAGGACTCTGGATGAAAAATATCCTAAATGTGGTATATGTTCATCCTAAACCAGCGTAACAAATAGATTACAGCCTTAGGCCTATTTTCCTTGTGGGAGATAAGAGCCCCATTACTCAATTTTAGCCACTGGATTTTACGCAAGATACTTTCAAAATAGGGAAAACTCAAAGTAAGCCAGTTGAAGGGTCTGGAATCATGCCAGATGAGGCATGATAAAGGGAACTGAGTATTTCACTCAGGAAAGGGACATGAGGGGCTCCTGGTAGTGGTCTTCACCAGACTGAAAGGCTGTCCTACAAAAGAAAGCACTCTCGGGGAGGAAGAATTGCAGTCCAGAGCTGTGTGTACGGGAAAGGTGAGGCCACAGCTGAAGAGACCGTGGGCCTAAAGCCAGGAGACCCAGGCCTGGTCTCAGCTCTGCCACGGCCAGGCTGGGTGACTGCCAACTACCCCGCCTCTCGGCTTCCAGGAAACCAGCAATGTGTGTCCCCCTAGGACCCACCAGCGATTCGAGAAGTACAGGGAGGGGAAACTGTAGCTTAATACAAAGACTATTCTAAAATCACTGTTCAGAAAATAAAAAACGTTTTACCTGTAAGGGGTGACTTTTTGCCACTAGAAGCAAAACCAAGCAAATACCTGGGGACCAACTGTCATGGGAATTAAAGGGACGATTTCTGCATGGACTGAGGTTTAGATGAGGTAACTAACCTCTCTCTCTCTCAAATTCCTGACATTCTATGAAGTTATGTACCTTATTGCTAATTTAGGCATAACAGAACCACGTAACAGAACCACGTAACATTATACATGCTGCTATTCACACGAGGTAATACATCCGGAGCCAAACGTTAGTGCTTTCCATTTTACTTATTTTAATCGTTCATAACAGAATACTATCAATGTGTAAATCCTTTATTCTTGGCACGGAAAATTTTCTCTCAAATGAGAATAGCATGCTTATTTTTAGTACGATCTATTTTGCTTAGGTTAATTTGAACTTCCCTTAAGAGGTCAGAATAGAAATGTGTCATAACTAAGAAATTCGCTAATTCACTGTACTCTATTTTTCTTTAAAAACAAAAAAATCTAACAATTCAAAATATATCTAACTTTTTCTTTGATTTTTAAGGCTTGTCATCTGAATCCTGCATTGGCAGATGAACTTCATGCTTTACTTATTCGTCAGAGAATTTAGACCACAGTGCATTTCTAACACCTTAGAACGTGTGTATAATAGCTATGTTTGTTTTCTGCTTCCCAAGTTACATTATCCTGGGTGTTGTACTGATGACATGTTACCTTCACTCTTGAATTTGTATCATGTTGCAACTTGAAACCGAGCTACGAGATCGAATGGCAGGAAAAGGCCTCAAAGATCTGGCTCTTGGCCAAGAGACTGGCTGAGATCATGTCAAATATTTGAAAACTATTCCATAAAGCAAGTATTTTTTTCTATTCTTAGTGTCCTTAAAGACAGTGCAGTATAAATGCTACAAACTTACCCAAAAAAGTCTGAAAGTTTAATTCTTTAAACTTCTTTAACCCTTAGTTTTGTGAATTTTCAATATTTTAAAATTTTAGTTATCTAAAACTTTAAAATCTAGAATTCACAAAACTGAATAAAGGTCAAAAAGATCTAAAATTTTGAAATGTTTTTAAAAAGTTTCTATATAGCATTTATACCTCTGAAGTTATTAAAACTAAGACCACACTAAGTCTTTTGGGACAGCTTGTATTCTTAAATTAGCCATTTATTTGTAAGACTCTCTTATAAATTTCAAAATTAGTGGGTTTAAGAAATTACTCAGAATCTTGCCCCTCCATATCTTAAAAGATCTTAATAAGTAAAACTGCTGTAGTCCTGATCATTGAAACAAGATGTTTCTTTGTGCTTCAACTCCTTTTCTACATTTTAAAAACCCTCAATGTATTTCAAAGCAAGATAAAATGTGGAAAAAAATCTCGAATTATGTACCAATGTAAGAACTGTAACTAAAATGTTAAATTACATTAGCAAGAGGTTTTCTCTATCAATTACATCTATAAAGGCAGAAGTCGACAGTAAATATAGGATCCATTTGCAGAAGCTGGTATGGCAATGAACGTCTGTGAAACAAATACTAAAAATGTTTTAAAGAAACCTGAACAAGACCTTCTTTGTAAACTGATATGGCTTTATTTTATAAATCACAACCCTCCTGTCCAAAGTGTATTTACAAGATCTTGTCTTAACTGAGAAAACGCAACTGATATGTAGGTGCCAGTCACTAAAGAAGTATTGTAGGACAGAAAATGACTTGTTCTAGTATGTTCTGGTTTGCCTATATTATTTGAACTTCATTTTGTCTCTATATAAAGAGAAGAAATTTCAACAAAATTAGGCCATATACTTCTCTCTTCAATCTCTTAAAGAGTATAAACTTAAACTACCCCTGAAACCCAATCCTTTTAAAGTTAACTTCTGCAGACTCTGTCTTCCTCCAGTAACACATTTCCATGTCTCTGGCCCTTTATAAGATTCTATAAAATCTAACTTAAATCCTTCTACAACACAAGCCCACTTGCTTCACTCTTGTTTTCTTAATACCACCCATAGAACATTCCTTCAGTCGTTTGAAGATCCAAATTCCCAACCAGTGTTTTCTTCTCCACACTCAATCCAGTTCCTTAAGCTAAGAATCTAAAACAGAAATAAGGCAGTGTATGGGGACTTTAACAGCACTGTTAATCTTTCTTCATCCCCATCGTGAAGACCACTTTTTTAGCTTCCATTAAAATGGCTCTGAGAAATCCTAAAGGTAGGAGGTTGACATATGTCACAGTTGGTAATACAGTTATATGTCTTCAGTGAATCCAGAACAGAATTTAAAAATTCATTTTACTGTAGTTACCATGAAGCTGGCCCTTCCGGCACAGGTAAGCCCTTCCCTGCAAACTGAGACCACTGCAACCATGGTGCACTCTGTGGTCTGTGATCAGGTCAGTCTTTAACTCAAGTGAGTTGAAACTAAGATGGTTAACTTTTTTTAAAAAAAATCAAAACTTCAAGAGTCCTTATAGCTGCTACCTTATGAAAAAGTGAGACTTCCTCTTCAGGAGTCATTAACAGCTACAGCTCATGCCTAAGACGGCCCTTTCCAGTAACTAGTGTGAGTTTGGGGGCTGGGTGGCTTCACGCTGCTTCTCTGAATGCCACACATCCCTATAAAGGACACATAATTCTTATCCACATAAATAGCCAACTTTCAGGTTTCTAAAAGTGTCCAAGTATCTTGATTGGAAAAAAAGGACAAAGAACTGTAGCTAAAAGAATCTCAAAGATAAAATTTGACTTACTAATTTTTAATCATTTATCTTTCAGAACTGGTGTTTCACATCAGGAACTCGGCAGGTGTGATCTGACATCGCCAAGACCACTTTAATATATATACATAGTACTTTTCTTTCATGGATTTCAAACTGAATTTCTGCTTAATTGTTTGCTCTCAATATTCCTGGGGGTTAGAAAGGAAAAAGTGTTTTAAACACATCACTGCAAAATAAATGGTGAAACCCAGAAAAATTGTCCTTGGTCACACTATTAAAAACACAGCAACACGTGTGCCCTGGATCTCACCTAATGCCTCTCCTAGTCCCCAAAACTAGCTCACACAGTCAAGTCTGGAACAGCCTGAAGTAACTTCCCTTCTCTTTGCTTCCCCATCTCATTTCCTGCCCATCCTTCAAAGGTCGGCTGATACCCCACCTCCCTCATACAACATTTCAAGCACCAATTTGGCTCTTCTCATTCACACCACAAATTATATTTTTCATTCATTCCGTGTCTGGAGAAAGGCAGCAAACTTTATGCTTCCTTACGGAAGTACTCACATGCACGGAGTTTTCTACAAAAAAGGCACTTGGAAATAACTACCTTTAGTGTTTCAACTTTGAGATATAAGCATCTTAAACATCAGCGCTCTGATTCATTTTTATATTTTATTGCTCCAAATGCTTCAAACTATGGGAAATCTTTGGTAAAAATAAAGACAGTAAAATTTTCACAATAACTTCACACAAAGCATTGCACAGTATTCAGTACACACGAGTATAGGAATGTTCAGAATCCTCAGAGAGGAAATCAACTGTACAGTGTTCATAGTTCTTCATTTAAAACAACTTCATAAATATTTAAAATAGTTCCTAGGTTCTTACCATGTATTAACATTTATGTTTCAATCATACATTGACCTTGAAAGGATTTATATTAAAATAAAAATTAACAGAAGAGGTTTTTTCTGTTGCCTACTATATACAGCATCAAGTTTGCCCCCCAATTCTGCTTCCTTCACATAAAACTAGAGAGGGGCAACTAGAAGATCAATATAGTTCTCAGTCAAGCCCTCTGTGGAAAAGAGGAAAATGTTTCATGTCTATTAGCACAGACATTTCTCTGGTGGCTTATCTGTATAGTCTCAAACTTGACCAGCTTTCAGTTGATCTAAGTGAGTCCTCAGCTCAGGACACAATTCCAACAGCAGCACCTCCATCAGCACCTGAACCAAGACAGAAAAATAGAAAAATGTCTTTTTTTCCTCTAAGGGTTTACTCAAACATCTACATCTAAGACAAGTCTAATTTTAGGTCTGAGATGATTCTCTGAAAAAGTTACTTAAACAAAAGGAATCAGTATTATATAAACTCCATTTAGCATCAGATTGATTTATTTCATGCTCCATTAACCATCATCAAACCATCTACGATATTTATCACTGCTCACTATTACCAGACGGCTAGGAAACTGTGCTTTGCTGTCAGGCAGAAATGGTACATCACGAGTCAAGAGAGAAAACAACCAGCAGGTGAGGAGGACAACACTGCATCCACTGGGGGTATTTTTTTTTTAAACCAAACTGAACAGACAAAAATGAAGCAGAGAAAATGGGTTCAGAGTTACAAAGAGTAAGAATGATTAAGAATAGAAAGAATTAAAATCTACCCCCATATGTGAACAGAATTATAAAATAGAACAAACACTGAATGCGCTAGGAGGCTTTAAAGTACTCACATATAACAGATGTTTATTGGCTCTTGTTTCTTGCAGCGCATTGAATATTTTTATTATACCGTGACGTGCATTTTGCTGTCCAACAAGGCTCTGAAGCATATCTGAAAAATTAAGTTTATATTCCCCGCTGCTACTGATGCCGTGCACGTGGCACGGACCTTCAGGAAAGGGGCTACGGCACGGCGCACACACGGTACAGAGAGGCGCGGAGACAGGAGGGACGTGAGGGACTCGTTCTTCCCAACGTTTAGAGAGAAAATAAATGTACACGTTTTCAGCATAAGGCATTTACACAAACTACAGCTTTAATATGAGGCTACCCAATTAAAAACTGAGCTCCCAACAGGGTACTTTAGCAGGAAAATATTTTTAAAGCATAAAATCTATTCTCTGTTCTAAAACACTTTTCTAGTTAAATTATAACCAGTACTGTTCTTATTGGGATTCTCAGTAGAATTTCTTAGCAAGGGGCAAGGCATGATTTAAATGAAAAAAAAGTATGATCACTTTTTTTTTTTCATTGTAAATGTTTCCCGTGTGAAAAACACCTTAGTGGGGCTAACAGTCCCCTTTTTGTCTCTCACTTTCAGGATGGGAACCCAGGCCTCACCTGGAATGTTCTCGAGCAGCTTCTGCTGCGCTCTTTGTTTTGTTTCCTGGCTTTGTTCTTTGCTTCGGATTGTGGTCGGTGGTGCCAATTTCCCATTGGGCCAGAAAGAATCCCGGAAAACATTGATGTAGTAAACCAACATTTGCTCACTGAAAATCCAGTTCACTGTGTCCCGGATTTGTCTTTCAAGAGAAAAATATTTCTTGGATGAGGTTTTTAAAAACATTCATTCTCTGTTCTCAAAAGGCGTTTATCAGTGGGTAGGGTAGATTAAGAGACAGCCCGACTCTAAGCATTTGATGAACAAACTAGGGATGGGATTTTTAAACTCTGGCTCCAGAAGTTACTTTTCATTTTGCTAACACTGATGCCCCCCAGTCCTGGGGCTCACACGGTCACTGGTACTGATTTCTCTAAACGTCTGCCATGTGGTGTCGTTCAATCTGAAAAGACAAGGGCTGAGAGACTGATTCGTCTGAAGCTTGCAGCTGCTCCGCCTGTGCCTGGGATGTAACACACTCATTTCTCTATGGAGTGGCATAGACTGAAAACATGAATCCATTAAGAAGTGTGGAAGCCGGCCTGGAACGCCTCCCCGCGCTCCCGCAGCACTGGGGGAGCAGCAGGCCTTCTCATGAGCTGTGGCGTGGGGTTGCTGTGGCAGGAGACTTTGGGCGGGGTTCTCTGACCCGGGGGACATCTCCCATGCTCAGAGGCACAGAGGAAAAAACCCTTCACCACAAAGGGGAGGACTCTGAAAAGATACACTGCCGTCCAGCCCCTCCAGATTCCCACAGAAATGACAGGGCAGACCCTGACCTGCACAGGTATAAAGAAGTGGTTTTATCTGGCTGCCCAGGTCTTCGCACACCCAGGCTTCAGCAGTCACTAGTCCAGTTCCAACCAACCACAGGATTTCTGCTGTCAAGAGCCTGGGAGTAGCTGTGGGGTTGGGAGGGGAAGTGTTTCTGCTGAAAAGGGGAAAAGAATCACCTTAGACTATTAGCATTGGGAAGACCTGAAATTTCCAACTTAATTCACAAATAATAATAAATCAAAAAGCCCTTTAAGAATCTGACTTCCCAACCAGACTTTTAAAGGGACATTGTGAGGTTTCCAGGAATAGTGTCTGAAACAGATGTTCCAGGCCCAGCACTTGCCCACAGTGATCCAGTCACCAGTGAAGTCAACTCTGCAAGTCAAAGCCTCGGTAATGCCGTTTGCAACTGCAAGTCTCCTAAGATTCTTCCCCACACTGACCAGAACTGTGAAGCTCATATCTAGACCAAATAAAATAATTTTATCCAACAAAGGGAACCTGCTGACCTGCCTGCTCAGGTAAAATCTACATAAAAACGCAGACAGCTTGCTTTTCCTGCAAGTCTTTGAGTTACTCACTGGCACTGCAGGGAGAAATGAAGAATGAAAATTGCAGTTTGCAACCTAAAATTGAGTGACTCTTGCCAAAGGCCATACCTAAGCATTTTCTACCAATTTAGGGCTGACTTTGTATTAGCCAAAACCGTAGAAAGCTTTGGAAGCAGTTCCGGGATGTGAAATTACAGTTGGTACAAGGCAAGAGGCTCATATTGTACTGCTGCTTAATTTTATGATGTGTCATCATCTGCCTGAGGCAAAAACAGCAGAGGGCCAGGTGCTCGGCAGTCCTCCACCTGAGAAAGCCCCGCTGACCAACAGCCTGAAAGTTCTCCACGTGACGCTCCCCCACCCCCAGCCCCGCGAGAGTAACTGTCAAATGTACGCACCACTCTCAAACCACAGCTGCTCACCTGAAAATTAAGAGCCAATAGCATAAATAGGAGCAAGGAACGTACACGTGATTTACTGAAACTGGAAAAGAAAACAGCAAGTCTGGAGTTCTGAGAAAAATGGGGCCATTTTGGAAATTTCTTTAGCCAAGGCCTGTTAGTGCTCAGGTTACAAGATTTGTCTTAGACTGAAACCGTAAGTTAAAGAGGACATTTTTTTTTTTGCTTAAAGCAAAAGCCTGCGATACTAATTCAACTAAATATGCCACTAACACCATTTTTTAAAAAATCTTAGAAATAAAAAGAAACTTTGGCTTATGACCACAGGGGAAATATGTCCTACTTGCAAATGAATAAAAATATAACATGTTATTTATTATATTTCCCCTTAAAGATCTGTAAGATTCATGATAAAACTATCATGTTAACCCTGTACATATATTTGACAACTAAATTAATCTTTCACTTGGAAAAATCTGTTAATTTCATCTTAACACGTATTTTGCTGTACAAAAAAAAACCTGATTTTTCCCCTTATTTTTAGCAGTTGACTCGCATTTTTGTTGTGCAGGGAGTCATGATGTTTACAGTCTTGAAGAGTACTGGGTGTGGAGGGTAACGTGTATGTGTACCGATAACGTAATATAGCTTAAGGATACACATGTGGCTTACAGCTGTGTTATACAATTCACACACCCCTCATGGGTACCCAGTAACCAACAAGGGGAATTACTATTTTAATGTCAACCCAATTCTAAAAAAAAATACATGGTTTGCATTTCCCTCCAAATAAATAGCTGCCATGTGATGCTCATCCTACTTTCATTTTGGCTCAGAGTCTAAGCCTTAAACTGATCTCCATCACGTGACATAAAAAGGCTGTACCCAACATACTCAAACCAGTCATCATGGTCAAAAGAGAACTTTACAGAACAATCCCCTGAACCCTCGCCAGCCAGCAGGCTGGAGCCAGCTCAAGCTTCCGTCAGCTAGTTCACCGAGCCTTCTGTGGGAGAAATTCTTGCAGAAATCTGCTTCCCTATCCAATCTTAGAATCATATCAGAAATAAACAGAGAAACTGAAATACCTTCAGTTGGAGAGGCAATCTGACTATTAAGGCAAAGGGTAGGGCATGAATTCAAAGGTTCATTTCGTGCAACTCACTTGTTGATGGTTCTTCCAAAAGTGACCTGAACGAGAGCAATTAATGTTCTTCTCACCCATTTAAACACTAAAATAGAAATCAGAGGGAAAGTATTATCACAGGCTATCACATCGTGACATTTCATACTGACACAAAGCATAAAGCTTACCACATCACTCAGCCGCAGTCCTGACACCAAGTTGGGGGCTATGGTACCTGCAGAACTGGGGTCTAGGTTAGCAAGCTTCTGCCCAGGAGAAGTCTGATGACTAAGCTTCCATTTTCTACACGGCAACTGATGAGATGAAAGCCAAGACTTTTACGGCCTTTCAGTGCCTAAACAACGGCTGAGCTGGAAGTGGAAGTAACACTTCACGGGTCCCTGGGCGGCTGACTACATGTCTGTTTCCCACCAGCACCCAGTGCAGTTCCTATTTTAGATTTCTGTCCGGCTTATGGAGCCCAATTTTCTAACACACTGCTCCGAACGAGAAACATCTGTAGTCAAATGTTGACAAATATTTTGAAATATTAATGAACTGATGGATCTAACTGCTCCCTTTTGAATTGCAGTTTGTGGATCATCATGTGTTTTTACGTATTTTATGCATTTGGGGGAAGAAAGGTGAACTGGGAAGAGCCAGGATCCCCAGTGAGACGTGGACCCGGCACTCCTGTGACACTGCCTGGAGCAGTGGGCGCATCCTTCCCGGAGCCTCAGTTTCCTCATCTGAAAAAGGACAGTGTTTATGTGTATCTTTTTTTGTTTTGTTCAAGAGTGGTATCAATATTTTGTGTGAAAGAGTTTTGTGAAGGGTCCTACAGAACTAAACTTGTATTATTAGCATTAGATTAGGAGACACATTGGTTATAAGTGTAGAATATGAAAATAAACCAAAAGAAGGCAAAGAAATGCCATGAAGTTACTTTTGGTCTGCAAATTATAATCTAAACCCAATATTCTATTTATATATTCACCTCCACCCACTGAAATGTTTAGCTCCTGACACACGACTTGGCTGTGATGGAGCCCAGAGTTGGAGGCTCCTGCACCAGTCAGAAAACCTAAAAAGAGGAAATTCACAAACACCTCTGGTACAAAGGAAGACATACAAACAGAAATCAACAATTAACACAGACTTGGTACTAGACTCTCAAACATTCTTCAGTCATTTCTAACTTTTAAGTGTATTTAAGTGTCCAGTTACAGTAGTGTTGTTATTCCTTCAAAGTGAGAGATCTGGAGTCACAACGAGGTCTCGGAAGTGCCTGCAGTAGTGGAATTCAGAGCGGGCTGCAGGCCTGCGGACGGGCCCACCTGGCTGGCATTCAGGCCAGAAGGAGTGTGTCTGTCAGGGGTGATAACTCCTCTCCGCCTTTCTAGGGCAGGAGAGAAGGCGCTCACACCCAGAGGGCCAGAGGACACGTGCAGCTCCAGGAAGAATGCCTGACAGCCCAGTGACTGGTTATAAATGTTTAAATAGGCTGTATTTCTGGTCCCTTTCTGTAAACTGAACTAGAGCAGGAACGGCTCTGCTACAAATTCCCTCCCATCACCGATGCCCGACTCCACTCCTTCCTGCCCCTCCCCAGGGCCCACCTTCCCCTCCAAACAGCCCCATCACTCCTTCTGAGGACTCATTTGTTCAACGCCACAGAGGCAGCTGCAGCAACACTAGGATTCTGCTGATGGCAAATATATCACATCTCATTATCGGTGATGTTCATTTGTTCTCCTCTGAAATGTCACTAGCAAGACCGAGTCTTCTGAGCAGGCACATGAGGGAGGAAACGCGTGCTGCAGAGAGAGGATTTTGAGCCCTACTCTGGCCCTGACTGGCTCCTTCCCATCCACCAAGTCTCTCCATCTCTTCAGATGGCAGAGAACACACTGCCCAAAGGCTGAAGTGGTGCTTCCCTTTTCTTATCAACTTGATGGCAAGTGGGAGGATTCACGACTCCATGGGCCAGATTTCACTGAGGAAAAGCCAGACTCTGAGGGGGGAGACTGATTTTTTCTGCCTACATGGAACCAAGTTAAACATGAGTACACATCTTGAAGTATCTAAAATATGGACCAGCTCTTGCTTTTTCATCTGAAAGGATCCCTCGTACTTGGATGATATTCTATCATGTGGATATTTCTTAATTTAACTATTACCCATTTCTGAAGTTTAGCTTAGTTCCAACTTTTCATTATTGGCAGGGGGGATGTAATTAGGTTTGTTTGTTTATCTACTTATTTATTTTAATGGAGATACTAGGGGTTGAACCCAGGACCTCATGCATGCTAAGCACGCACTCTATCACTGAGCTATACCCGCCCTGCAACTTTTCATTATTGAAATTATATTCAAACTGAGCATCCATATAAATAAATTTCTGCCTGTAGTTTAGAATTTAATTATATCTATTGCTTAAGGTAGTGATATGTTTGAGACCCTTATATTGTAAATTTGCTGAAGGAAGACCCTACCTCTAAGATATTTTTGTTTCCCCTACAGAGCTGTATCTAAAACATATGCTCCCGAAGTATTTGCTGATTATTTTAGATTTGGCTGAGACAAAGAAAAAGTTCAATGACAAAAATAATTAATTCCAGCACTGAAATTTTTCTTGCCTACCTATCCATCCACCCATCCACCCATCCACCCAGGCATTTTATTGGTCACCTCCTATGGATCAGGAATTATAAGAGATACTGAGGATTAAAAGATTAAACATAGACGGACTAGGACAGACTCAAGTCTGCATCAGGACCTGAAGTTTCTTTATCTGCAAATAATTCTTTAAGTGACATGTGAAGGGATATATGTAAATAAGAAGCAATGCACAGCCCCACGTCCAGTTGGTCTAGGACCAACTCCCAGCCCACCTTCTTTGCCCCAAGGGAAAAGATGCTCATCCGAGTGGACAGAGCCCAGGACATCCTCAGGGCCACGTTTTACTGGCTGGTGGCATTACTGCGCCTTGGAAGACCTTGCTCCTCTCATGTGCTTCCTCTTCTAGGTGGTCATGTGTGCCTTTAGGGACCTGTCACACCTGTAGCTAGTACTTGAGGCTCCAGGTAGAACCAAGTATGCTGGCCTCATGACTGAGCGCACTTGGGTCTGTGGGAGGTGGGGGTCGGCAGACAGTCCTACTCAGGACGCAAAATAAAAGCCAAGCAGTGCAGTCTGACCTTTCACCTCAGTACTATTAGGGCAGGATTTCTCAAGTGCGCACTACTGTCATTTGGGACAGGACAACTCTGTTGTGGGGGCCGACATGCACACTGCAGGATGGGTAACAGCATCCTTGGCCTCCACCCACTAGACGCCAGGAGCTCCCTCCCTCAAGAAATGTTTCCAGACACGCCCCATGTCCCCTGGGGACAAAATTTCCCACCTCCACTGATGACCACTCCTCTAGGAAGAAAGGTGGCTGGAAAGCAGGCTTGGGCCTCCCTGCGCTCCTGGCCACATACCATCTTAAAGCACCCAAACCTCACCTTTAACAACAGGGCTCTTCCTCTGCTGCACAAAATTAGCGTTTGCATGCCTTCTGCTTATAAAGAAATGAGGTTATACTGAGTCACATAAAAAGAAATTCAAAGCATTCCACCTTTCTGTATTCAGAGGAACATGGTGCAGGGTAAATCAGGACCTAAGTTCCACTAGTCTAGAGATGACATCTGTTTTAAGGTCATGTTCTCAGAACCTACTTTGATATCTGGTCGGCCTATAAAAGTATTTGCTGAATGAATGAATGAATATAAATACATGTCTGATTCAGGAACAAAGGGGTATTAAATGTGTGTGTGTGTGTGTGTGTGTGTCCACGTAACCAGCAAATACCACTGAATGATAACAAAGAGGCTTACTTCCTCGAAGTTCAAAAATCTCCCCAATCAACATGAAGCATGGTTCAGCCAAGGCGTCTTTCCTTCCATCCACATCATCACCGTAATCTGACAGGTCACTGTCCTCCTCTGCCTCCTCCTGGGGGAACAGCAAAGTCACAGGAGGCAGATCACTCACCCAGGGACAGTGGTAGAGTTCTTCAAGTGTAAATTCCCAAACATGTGCTCACATTTCAATCTCACAGAACCCTCCAACTTTCCTAGATGCAGAAATCTACATTTTCAAAAAAAAAGCCAAAGTGTAGGTAACCTCAGGGAAAAGCTTGATCCTAAAACCCTATTCAAGGTCTAAAATAATTCTGAAAAACTTGTCACTGTATTAATGAGGAATGAATTAGTAGTAACAAAATAGTTTTCTAACCATTTTGAGTTTTCAATGTAAGGCTTTTTAACTTGAATGATTTAAACTGTTTTTTTAAAAATATATATATATATTTGGAAGTAATTTAGTTATTTAAAACTCTGATTCAAAAACAAACAAAAAAAAACTAACTCTGATTCAAGCTTTTATTCTGTACTTGAGCTAGTCTCATTTCCTGATCTGCATATCAGCAAATTCCAGCTGAAAGCTCATTCTATGCCAGGCCCCAGGCTCGTGCAAATGAGCAAGAGGTGGGGGGAGGCTTGGAGCCGCCACAGCTCGGGCGGAAGGCCAGCGGAGCGTGGCTGAAACAGGGGCAGAGCTTTCAAGGGCAGCCCAGAGAGGTCAGCGCGGGCTGCAGACCGGCAGCAGCTGAAGCTGCGGGACCACGCGGTGGTCTACTGCCAGGGCTCTGCGGGGCGAGAGGAGCCGAGGAGAGGGCTGAGAAGTCACAGAAGCAGGAGGCGCCCCCGGGCCTCACGGCTATACTAGTGGCCTAGCCACACCAACTACTGCGGAGGAGGGAGCACCGCAGACTGGGAGGAGGGAGCACTGAGGGCTGGGAGGAGGGAGCACTGAGGGCTGGGAGGAGGCACTGTCGGTGTAAATCCCAAGAGGCTCAGGGACAAACGGCGGCGATGGGGGTGGGCTGGCCGGTGCAGCCAGACGCGGCACGTGTGGCTGAGAAGGAAGAGGTGGCAGAGACGCTGGGGAGGGAAGCGGGTTCACCCGTGCCCTGAGCGCGGGGGTCCGGACACTTGGACTCCTGCTTCCGCTCAGGGCGCAGTGAAGTAGAGGATCCTTTTCATCGTCAAACTGTTTAAACCAATTCTCGTGAAGGGACAGTGGCAGGTGGCACTAAACTAAGGAGACACCAGATTTCCAAGACAGGCTCGTGCAACCAGCGGCCTCGCCCCAGGTGGGGAAGCCCAAGGTACTGGCACCACAGTCTCGGTCTGTTGATCCTTTACCCGCATGGGCCACTTGCTAGGTGAGTCTTGCTTCAGAATATTCCATGGCTTTCCAGCCCATGAGAACAAAATCTAAACGCCTCAGCCTGGCGTGGCCATGCCCCCTCCTCCACTCTCCGCCTTATCTCTGTCCACCTGCGATAGAAGCCCCACCCCCTCCCTGCCGGGTCCCAAGGCCCCTGACTTCCCCAAATGCATCTTTCTCTCCTGAACCTTCCGTATTAGCTCCGACCCCTCCATGATGACAGCCCCCATCCTGGGGACAGGCCAGTCCACCTTTTCCCTTCTGTAGAGGGTCTCCTACAGAACCTCCCATCCACATGTCACTTACCTAGCTTGGAATTAACCTTGTCCCAAAATATGACAGCAAGCATCACTGAATGTACTTGCTTTCCCCTCATTCGTAGCAGGCTTTCAACAAGTGTCTGCTACTTCAAACCGCCTTCAAGAAGACATCTGCTTAAATATGCTTCAAAAACAGTACAGCCTTCAGAGAGCTCACCTCCTGATGGGAGAAGAAGTCACGCGGGAGTCTTTCCAAAAATGAGGATAATGAAAAAGTGGATTTTTTCCCCTGCACATCAATAACCTTGAGGTAGTCAGGAGAAGGGCTCAAAAAGGCATAAAGTGCTTCACTCTGACACAGTCTCTCATCTGAAAGCAGACTCTGTGGAAGAAAGAGGATTAATTCCTTCTCATGGGGGGAATACGTGAGCCATGAGCCACCAGGAGTAAAGTCATCCAACGGGGGGATGACTGTCGGGAAATTTACTTTCATCGTAATTCTGAACATAAAACCACTTCCCCTTCCCCTTGAAATAAAATGTATTAGATCAATTCTCAATTACCTTAATGGCCAACAGTCCTCTCTAGGTTACCCAAAGCACCCTCATCACTCGGCTGGTGGGAGACACCATGCAGACAACAGAACTCACCCGCTCAGGGCAACATAAAATTCTCACTGTGCCCAGTGCCTGCAGACCCCGGGGCCACCGCCTTTCCAGTCCAGTTAAGTTTCACTCATCTGTGTTTGACCAACGTACACATCTGCACATGAACCCAAGGATCCCACTCAACCACCCTTTAAAGGCCACGTGCAGACTTTGTACATCAGCTGAAAAAAGGGCTCTGGGTCATCACATGGTGGTACTGTCTGCCAGGCAGCAGTTTTCTGTCCCTGTGCTGCCCCTTCCACGGGCAGCGTGTATTTACATCCTTATTAACTGTTGCTACTGGCCCATAAACTGGAAACTTCCTGGGGTTCTCTATGTACTTATCCCGCCCTAAGAGAGAGGAAAATTTAAACCATTATTTCCTGACTTACAATCCTTTTGATTAAAAGACAGGTATGCTGACATACAAGCAAGGGGTACTGACAAGACAGTGAAGTTAACCACATGACCACAAGAATGTGTAAATGCCTCGTATTCAGAGATACAGGGTTTAGGAAGGAATGAACCAATGAGAAATACTGCCCCAGGTACGATGTTGCCCCCTTGGGGGACGGAACAATGCGGTTCTGATGACAGAAACTGGGGTGGGAGAAGAGGTTACGTTCTAGTCCCAGAGGAACTGGTCCATGATGTTAACACTGTATTTGTGAACGATCAAGCATGAAATCTAATAAACCCTATAGTTTTTCCCAGAAAAGCACCTCTGTGAGGGCCCAGTCGTGCCACACTGGGCACTGGTGTCCTGGCCTGAAGATGGAGGTTCTGTCTCAGACTAAGGGGATGGGCGGCTGGTGTCACTACTGCCTTCTCCGGCCCCTGAGCATTCACTCCCTTTATGGAACATTAAATGTTCAGCTGTGAGGCTGGATCAGGAGTGAGATATTCTCCTTCTGCCTTGATTTCCATTAGCTAATCTACTCCAACGCTATTTTATAAAATAGTAGGAAATGATAACTAATGGTAAATCTCAAACAATACAATTAATATAAATAAGGAAATCATTAAGGATAATAAGTCCTTGGACTGTTACATTGTGTTTTGATGGAAAATAACCAATTTAAATATGTATGAAAATTCTGTCTGTGGGGCAAGGTATAATAGGGATTTTATCATTTTTAAGCTGAGAGTGGAACCCTATTTCCACTTCCTCCCTCTTCAGCGCTTAGAGCATGTTGTCCTGCTCCGACAGAGATCTAAGGGGCTGTTTCATGGAGGACGGAGAAGGCTGTAAAGCATTCCGGGAGAGTGAACAGCACGTGCAGCCCCAGACATGGGCACCACACTGCTGGGGGCACAGCCGGAGCAAGAGGTGTGTGTGTGAGGAACAGGGAACACGGCATGTAGGAGTGAAGTCGGGGAGAAGTGATGTCACGGCCAAGGAGGAGTAGCTAGGTTATTAAATATCTGTCATCAGAATGCTTCACTAGGGAACCATGTGTCATACATGAACATTCACGTAAACATACACTCAGTGGAATCCTTTTTCTGGAAGATCCTATGAAAAACCTAATAATACCTGCCTCTCAGACCAAACATTTTCCATCTTGCTTTTCTTGCGTGCAGTTGGTGGGATAGTATTTTGAAATTACAGTGTGTTGTGTAATCTACCTAAATATATTAGTTAGTGAGCACTTTCAAAGAAAGTCTTTGAGGAAATGAGAAACAATTTAAACCATTACTTCCTGACTTACAATTCTTTTGATTAAAAGACAAATGGCCACTTGTGAGGACCAGGTCACCTGTTTGGGCAGATTATTCCTGCCCCAGCCACGCCCGCGCCACCTCCCAGCAGTGCACACGTTCCCTGCGGCCAAAGGCAGAACTCACTACCCTGTTTTCATCACCATTAACCCGACGGGGGCACCAATGGCCCCTCGCCGCATCCCCAAAAGTACAAAAGGGACCGTCATCTCTGCAGCACAAACAGGACAGGCGGCTGAAGGGCTGGAAGCACCAAACAAGCCGAGCCCCTCCCGTCCCCAACAGCAGAGGCTAGAAGGAAACCGAAGCCTCAGCTGGAAGATCCCAGAGCTACAGGCAGGGGGCTCAACAAGCTTGGATTCTGAATAAATACGTATTCATTTCTCAGACAAGACCTTCAGTTCACCTGAATGATTTAGTCAGCTACCATGCCTGAGTGGGCTTAATTATTTCCTAGACATTCTGAATCCACAATAAGATGGTAATATTGCAGTTTTAAAGTCTCTCCTGTAAGAGCAGTTAAACATTAAAGATTCTCCACCCCAGGTCTGCCATATTTAAACTCAGAGGGTGTTTCTAAGGTGCAATTATTGTATTTCTTGAGGGAAATTCAAATACATATACATATATATGAATATAGTCATATATGTGAATATATATGCACATATTTATTCATACATATTTTAGAAATGAATATATGAGAGAAAAAGAGACTGAAAACACTTGCAAAGCAACTCTGGCGTCAATGTACCTACTTTAACCATGATTTGTACTTCTGACTCACTGCATATACTTTCATAGAACCTTTACTAAACTTTGACAGCATCCATTATTAAGCCTCAGGACCTCCAGCTGCACAGCCAAGAAGTGTTTTATGGGACAAAGGTCCATGTCCCCCAAGAACTACAAGGGCTCTGGGGTCCACGGTTTCAGTAACTTACCCACACTCTGAATACAGAGGCCCCACCCAGCTAAGGAAAAGATAAATGGGGTTGCTCCTGGAGATGGGGTGCCTTTGTCCAGTCTTCTCTAAACATAGACTGAAGGGAAACAATTAAGTGCTTAGAGGAAATTAGGGGACTATCTTTAGGAACCTGGAGCAGGCAAAGATTTCTTCACAGCACAAAAAGTATTAACCATAAAAAGAAAGAAGAAGTGATAAATTGGACTAAATTAAAACTGAGAAATTATGCTCATTAAAAAGACTCATTAAGAGAGTGAAAAAGCAACCTACAGAAAGAGAGAGGATATCTGACAAGAGACTCACAACCGAAACGCATCCAAAACTCCCGCAAAGTGATTCAGAGGAAGACAGGCAACGGGACAGAGAGGCAGACACACTAACTTCACAGAAGAAACCATCCGGGGCTGGGGGGGAGGGTCAGAGCCCCGCGCACCACTGGTGAGAGCCTACAAGCTGCTGCGACCGCTCTGAAAACCTGAAAAGCTCAAACCCCGGGGATTACCCAGCAGCTGTTCACCAAAAGCCAAGAGCTGGACGTGCAGACACACCCGTCGTAACGACCTCCACCTGGAGACCCTCCAAACGCTCACAGACGACGGCGTCAACAGGCTCTGGTACACCCATGGAGGGGTCCCCCCGACAATGAAACGGACACAAAATCAGAGCGACCTGCAACTGAAACAGCACCGGGGGAGACTCTAGGAACACGTCCGCGTGAGGAAGTCCCACAGAAGGAGGTCCTCGCCCTGACAGTCCCCCCACGGGACGGTCAGACAGCTGTCACTGTGCGGTCGGAAGCCGGGATCCAGGTCACCCGGGGTCAAGCTGGCAGGCCTGGCAGTATTGTCTCCAGGACTTGGTGCCAGCTATAAACTGGAGAAAGTTGTACACATAGTATGTACACTTTCTGTATGTACAGTATATACTTCAGTTACCCAACCCTCCCCCCCAAACCCAAAACCGAAGATGTTTTGAGGATCTGGCACCACTGGTGAGAGAAGGAAGCAAACAGGCAAACTCAGAATGATGACAGTTTCCCTCCAAATAACTAATTCTCCCTCCCAGATCCACAATTTTTCAGTTGCTTACCTGTAGAAACTTATTTAGTTGATTCTTTGACTTTTCCATAAATTTTTGATCTATAGATTTGAAAGGCAGCTTGCTAAGAGAAGGCAACTGGACTTTTTTTAAAGAAGGGAAACACTGTGAAGGGAAAAGAAATTAAATGTTAGTATATTAAAATTACATTTTAATCTTTAAAAATTTAGATTTTTAATAAGAACAAGCCACGTATCTTCCTCCCGTACTTGGTTCCTCCGGGATTTAAGACCTTGAAAACCTGCCTGTTCTAATGAGGCTCAAGGAATCTGGAGGAAAAGCACATCTGATGGAAAAAGCTAATGCTTATCTCTCAGCTTACAAACGCCCGGAAGCTGGAGATCCCAGACCCGGGCTGACAAGACGCGTTTGCACAACGTGCACGGAGCACATGTGCTGGGAAAGGGCACCTGGCTCATGGCAGGGGAGTTTTTCTCTTAGAATATGTTTGTTTTACAGCATCTCTGTAAAGTTATCAAGGTTGGCAAAAGAAGATGGTGGAAAACAAGAACTTGTGTTGTAACTTTATTACTGCCTTTCAAGGGCAAAGTGCAGAATATAAATATATTAATAATAGTAAAATATGTTATGTAAATAATACCAATAGACGTCCCTTTGCGGATTAAGCCCGACATCCTGCCAGACACTGTGCTGGGAGCTTGGCAGGTGGAACAGCTCTGAGTCACCCCTGTTTTCCATATGAGACAGCTGAGGCTCAAGATTAAAACCCAGATCCGTCTGACTCTGAAGTCTGAGCCTAGTGCCAAAGCTCAGGGGACACTGCCAGTCTGCCCCTCAGACCTAGGAAGACAGCAGGTTCCAAGTGCTCAGACTCTTCCTTAAGGCACTGGGACACTGGAAAAGGCAGGAAAAAATCAACTCGTGCTGGAAAGTAAGTGAGGAGTCTACCTACCAGCTTCTCCTGCGGCTGGCATCATCAGAGTCACAGCAGCCCCGCCAGCCTGGCCACAGCAAGGATGGCAGGTGGCAAGTTGCTTGCAACAAGGGCGTATCAGCGCCTCAGGTGGTGGGAAAGGGAACACCGGCAGCCCAGCACGCACCTCAGGTACAGGGGCGCTTACCCGAGAAGGGTATTGAGGTGCAGGCTCAGGATAAAAATATTTTGGAGAAATGAAACAGGCAGTGAGAGGCAGAAGGGAAGACTGAAGTCACTTAGCACCTGAAAAGGCATTTCCAGTCACAGCTGTCAACGGGAAGAGTTCCTTCAAAAATGAACTCAAAAAAGGAAAGAAAAGAAAAGAAAATTCTGTCACAAGACAGAAAATATCAAGGGTGAGAGAAGGTGGCGGTCATCAGGCCCCAGATGAAGAAAGGTAACGAGATGAAAGGACAGATGAGAAATTTTATAAGCTTTGCTTCCCCTAATGCTTCAGTGTGACTTGTTTTTGACAGAAGTCAGTGATTTAAAGAATCATCCTAGGAGAAAAGGTGAAAGGAAACTGACATTTCATTTGCAAAAGAGGGGTCTGAGAGGTGAGCATAGCATTTTACCAGCATCAGTTCATTCTGAGCAAGAGAAAAATGGACTTAAATGAAGGTAGAAATGATCAAAGAACTCTGATTGCAGAGGTAAAGGGCAATTAGCTCCAGTAGGTGGGGAGTTAGAAAAGATGCAATTCCTGAGAAAAATGGAAAAATAATGAATGGAAAGTAAGATGACCTGGATTCTAGTTCTGGTTTGGCCCTTATGTATACATCCTACGAAAAGTCAAACTCTCTGGGACCAGTTTCCCTCACCTGTTGAGTAAAAGAACTGACCTAGATTAGTGGCTTCCAAACATTTTAAACTAAAACCTATAGTAGGAAACACATGCCACATTGCAGCCCACAAAGTGTGTGCAGATATACACATCCATACATATAACACACACACCCACACTATAATAAACACCCACACGTATAATACACCCACACGTATAATACACACCCATACATATAATACAATCCATACATACAATACACACACTCTTATATAATACACATATCCATATATAATATACACACCAATATATATTAAACACATAAAACTGAAGCAAAAGTTGCATGAAACAAGGTTCGTTACGACGACTACTGTAACTACCAACAAATAACGTTTACTGTGAGCAGCACATTCATCCAAACACTCTGCACGCTTACTGCCTTCCTTCCCACAGCAGCTCGGGGGGACAGGTGAGGGAGGCACTACCAATATTCATATTTCACTCGCGAGGAAAAAGAGGCACAGAGAGAGTGACAGGTCCCAGGCCACAGAGCCAATAAATAGTAAAGTGAGGATCCAAACTGGATCCTAACTCGGGCGGCCTGGCTCCCGAGTCTGTGCTTTCAACCACGACACCTGACTGATTCCTTCATGTGCTGAAATGCACTGCAGTCCATTCTCTTTCCACGGCTGCAACCCATAACTGATCCTACACCCACTAATGGGTCACAACTGGCAGCTTCGAAACCACTGGCTGGAAATGATCCCCAGTTCAAGATCTTCCAGCTCTGGGGTTCTGTGGGGTTCAACAGACGTCAGACGATTACCCATCCTGAGGGCTTCAGACTAGACTAGACGGTTGATCTATGAGTAAATTTCCAAATGTCAGGTCCAAAATGCCACTTGGCCAGTATCAACAGCAAAGGAGAAAGATGAATCAGTTCCCTTGTGTGTAAAAATTGAAATGAGTTCTTAAATCTCTTCTTGCTCAGTAACTAAATTCGTGTCCACAAGTATTCATACCTCACTAAGTTTCCGGTGTAAATTCTGAAACTCACTGAGCCTTCTGGGGACTGTCCAGTTCTTCGTTTCAACTCCTCCAACTTCTTGTAAGCTTACCATGACAAAGTAACAGGGCATCTGTTCACCATTCTCTTCTGTAACCTTGGAAAAACGACAAACACAACAGCAGCAAAAAGCATGGTGAGCAGATTCGGTAGGCAAGATTTTTAAGCGTCCCTGACGATCTCCCTCTCACTGGTGTCCGTGCCCCACATCGTCCCCAGGACCTGACGATGACCGGGCCTGTTCTGGCAATTAGGTAACGTTACATGCACAGCTGACTTTAAACTAGGACGACTGTCTGGGTGCGTCTACCCTAATCACACGAGCCCTTTCAAAGCAGAGGGATTTCTCTGGCGAGTAGTGGAAGAGGAACCAGAGGAAGCACATGGGCCTGGTGCGTTGTGCCAGCTTAAAGACGGAGAGGGCCATGGGGAAAGGAGCCGGGAGAACTTCGAGGAATTAAGAATAACCCTCCACTGACTGCAGAAACACAGAGACCTCAGTTCCGCAACCACGGGGAACTGAATTCTGCCAACAACCTGAGTGAACCTGCAAGTGGACTTTCCCCCAGATTCTTCAGACGGGAACACAGTCTGGCCAACAGCCTGATTTCAGTGTCATGATACAGTGGGTAGAGAACACAGTCACACAGAGGTGGACTTTAAACCCACAGAACTGTGAGCTAATAAATGGTGTTCTGAGTCATGAAATGTGTGGTAATTCGTTGTGCATCAAAAGAAAATGAACACAGCAGACTTAACATCTTTATTGTGTTTCCTGGAAGAAGCAAATTAACAGCAAGCAAACAGGTGTGACAGACCAAAACTTCTCTCAAAGAAGGATGAGGGCTTTCCCAGTTTCTTACAGGATTCAACAAACCTTGATTTCCATTTTTATGAAATTTTACACTGGAAGACATGTCTTCTTCCTCTCAACTTGGATAATTCTTAAACACTTACACACATACCCTGTTATAATTCAGAATAGGCCACTGTTGTTCTCAATGTAAATGGAGAAGAGAAGAAACAAAAAGAAAATACATCGAGTTTAAGTCTGACTTGGTTTCATGAATTGAATTGGTGAGTGAACAGAAAGGCAAAGGAAGGAGATGCAAGCCTCACAAGGGGCGGCTGAGCCCCCCGGGGGGGACGACGATCCACCCTCTGCGGGGATGCGGAGGCGAGGGGGCAACAGGCCGCGGACGGTGCCAGGGCCACCCAGCATGCAGGTAGCTCAGCCAGTCTCAAGCCGGGGGGTTTGGCGTGATGTAAACACCCCCCCCCACGTGGGGCTGCCTTGTGAACTCTCGGCAGCCAGGGACCCCTCCGTGTCCATTTCCATTATCTTTTTGGGGCTCAAGGACACAGCAGACCCCTGAGGAACCACTAATTACCAGGGCAAAGTGCCTTGTGAGGGTTCTTCCTCCTTCTCCCTCCCCCTCTCTCAGTTGTTGCCTTTGGAAGATTATTTTAATAAACTGTGAAATGTCAGAGGCAGCTCTGGCAAAACTGAGGATGTGACAGAATGTGTGTTCTTTCCCTTCCAACGGCCTCCTCGATTACCTTTTGACATTTCGTAGCCCTGAGCCTACCCCCCTCCTAGACCTTCACCCTAAAGAAAATTCCACCTGCGGTTATCAAGCGTCTCTACACAGAACTCCAAGGTCCGGTGCAACCTTCCCCAGCCCACTGCCCCCACCTCCCCTCACAGAAGGCACACTGCCCCGCAGCTCACCTTACCGCGAGCGCCAACAAGTGCCAAAGGCTCATCAGGGGCACTTGGTCAAGCTCTCACGTCACGAGTGTGCTGTCAGGCTGGCTCTCGGAGAACATGCGTTGTTTTACTATCTAAACTAGAAGTGAATTTAAGACTGTGAATTTTAAGCTCTTCTGCCAGTAAGAATGTCCAGCCACTGAGTTGATGGGAAAAGCAGGGAAGGACCAAGGTAGGCTGGGCAGCCAGGCCCTTGCAAATCTCAGGAGCTGAGTATTTGACAAGCCATTTGAAACAACGACGGGGCCAGTCACACTACCTTCCCCAGGATCTTGTCCTGTGTGTGTGCTGTATGACAGACCTGCCTTTTAACCCCAGGTTTCCATAGTTGGCTAGGTGAGAAGGCAGGAGTCGTCAACACTAACACTGTGCCTATAAGCATCCTTCCTTTAAACAAAATTACTTATACAGACGAAAGAAAAGGGATACGGTGTATTCTGAAAACTACTATCCCATATCTCTCAGAGAATAGCAAATGTTTTTCCAATACAAGGGAAAAATAGTCATTATTAAAGATCTTAGAGCTGCTGACATTTGAGCCCCTGAAGTCAGCAGGATGGATCGATCAGAAACACTTAACATCTGTAATGTTTCAGCCGCAAATTTCAAGTAGTCCTTTCCATTTTTTCAACGCTCAATGGCAAAGTATATTGGTAATTCAAGGACATTCAGTGTCACGATTCCGGCGAACAAGGACGCTGAACTGGAGGGAGATCAGATCTACACCAGGCAGCCTAGTGACAGCTCCCAGTCACAGGCAAACCAGACTGAAAACGTGGGGTACGGAAAGCAGGACAAACGCAGTCTAGAAGAGCGGATGAAGTTTTATTCATATTTTATTTATAATTCTCTGGGACAAAATCTTGTCTGATAAAGTCAAACGCAGAAGTTTGGGAATAAATACCTAATAAACTGGGAAGACAAGCAGTCACACCTACCTCTCCACTGGTGATGGAGGCCTTCCACATGCCCAGGTTCTCACACCACCAATCTGTCCTTGCCATGTGCAGCTGAAGGTCCGTGCGTTCTTTCTCCATTAGAATTATCTCCTCCTTCAACTTAGAAACAATCTGCCACAGGGAAAACATCCCGGGAGTCATGAGACCATTTAAAACACTATGCAATTTAGCTGAGTAGCAGGATACAAAATCAACACACAAAAATCAGCTGTGTTTCTATGCACCAAGAATGGATAACCCCAAAAGGAAATTAAGAAAACAATTCCATTTACAATAGCATAAAAATAACAAAATATTTAAGAATTAACTTGAGAAAGGAGGTAAAAGACTCCTACTATGAAAACTATAAAACACGGATGAAAGAAGTTAAAGACATAAATGAATGGAAAGGTGACCCATGTTCATGGGTTGGAAAGACTAAATATTGCTAAGATGTTAATGCTACCCAATGCAATCTACAGATTCAGTGTGATCCCTATCAAAATTCCAACGATGTTTTGGCATAAATGGAAAAATCCATCCTGAAATTACTATGAAATCTCAAGGGAGACTGAAGAGTCAAAACAACCTTGAAGAAGAACCACGAAGTTGGAGGACTCACCCTCTCTGATTTCAGAACTTACTGCAAAGCTACACTAATCAAGATGGTATCATACCAGCAAAAAGACAGACATACAGACCAATGGAACAGACTAGAGAGCCAAGAAATAAACCCTTGCATATATGGTCAAGTGACTTTCGACAAAGGTGCCAAGACCATCAATGGCAAAAGGGCAGTCTTTTCAACAAATGGTGCTGAGAAAACTGGATCATCATCCACATGTAAAATAATGAAGCTGGGCCCTTACCTAATACCTACAACAATTAACTCAAAGTAGAACAAAGGACTAACTATAAGGCTAAAACTACAAAATCCTCAGAAGAAAACGTGGGGGAGCTGCATGACATGGGATTGCTAATGCTCTTGGCTGTGACACCAAAGGCACAGGCAACGAGAGGAAATATAGGCAAACTGGACTTCATAAATTTTAAAAACTTTTGGGCAAAGAACACTATCAACACAGTAAAACGGCAACTCACAGAATGTGAGAAACTATTTAGAAATCACATATTTGATAGGGAATTAATATCCAGAATATACAGAGAACTCCTAAAACCCAACAACAACAAAAAAACAAAAAGCCTAATTCAAAAATGGGCAAAGTACTTGAATAGACATTTCTCCAAAGAAAACAGTCAAAAAGCACATAAAAAGATGCTCAACGTTACTAATCATGAGGGAAATGCAAATCAAAACCACAGTGAGGTACCACCTCACACCCATCAGGATGACTGCTATCAAACATCAGAGAGTAACAAGTGCTGGTGAGGATACAGAGAAACTGGAGCCTTTCTGTGCTGCTGGCGAGAAGCTAAAATGGGGCAGCCGCTATGGAAACCAGTAGGGAGATTCCTCAAGAAATTAAAAACAATTACTATATGACCCAGCGATTCGACTTCTAGGTATATACGCACAAAGAGCTGAAAGAAGGGTCTTGAAAAGATACTTATACATCCAGGTTCGTGGCGGCATTTTTCACAATAGCCAAAATGTGGAAGCAAGCCAAGTGGCCACCAATGGACAGATGTATAAACAAAATGTTGTATAAACATGCAGTTGAATATTAGCCTTTAAAAGGAATGAAATGCTGACACATGCTACCACAGGGATGAATCTTGAGTACATTATGCTGAACCTCAAATACATTATGCTAAGTGAAATAACCCAGTCACAAAACAACAAATACTGTATGATTCCACTCATAGGGGGTAATCAGAGTGGTTAAATTCATAAGCGACAAAGAGAGAAGGGTGGTTGCCAGGGGCTGGGGAAAAGGGAATGAGGAGTTATTGTCTCATGGGCACAGAGTTTCAGTTTTTCAAGATGAAAAGGATTCTGGAGAAGGATGGCGGTCATGGTTGCATAACAATGTAAACGCCCTTAATGCCAGTGAATTGTACACATGGAAAATTTTAATGTTAGTATATTTTGCCACAATTTTTAAAAATAAATGTTTAAAACATTCTATGCTCACCATCTCCCTGGATCTCTTTAATGAGAAAACCTATAGGGTTATGTAACTCTGAGTCTGAGGACAGCAGCTGTGCCTCAAAACATTCCTGAATGTGCAGCGGACAAGGACCCTTTGCCTCCTCTGCAAGCCTGCCAGAAGCACTCGCCGCCTCTGCCCTCATGCGCATCTTACTGTCAGTAAGGACTGAAGCTACCCGCTGCGTTTCGGTGGGTGTGTGTTTGGTTCCACAGTCAGCACGTCTGCTCCCTAAGGGCAGGGGTTAGACTCCACTTCAGTGACCAGCACAGTCTCCTGCATTTCCTCATCACTTAGCCTCTGAATACACATTCAGAAAGTGCCAGGGGAGATCAATTTGGCAAAACAAAGAGCTCCGGCCATTACATTAGGGAAACCTGCCTGTTGGGCTCCAAAGATGTATGAACACAAAGCAAAAAGCCTCACCACGTCCTGGGTTTGAGGAATGCCAATTAGTGAGATGCTGTTTACATTTTTTAAACTTTCAAACTGTGTTGGCTTTTAGCAGAACAATTTCTTTCTTGAATAATTCTGTGACATGCTCTAAACTGTACTTGCAAAATTTGAAAGAAAAAAAATTTAAGATTGTCCTTGCATAGTTAGCTCACTTCCAGAAATGACTGGAAGCTCCACCCCTTCCGTAAAGGCACTGGAGGCAAGTCGGATAAAAGACACAGTAACAGCTGATGGAAGGGACCCCGCGTCGTAAAACGTAAAAGACAAATGCCTTTCTAATCCTATACTAGACGCCAAAAAATAACAATGCAACTTACAGTTAAAATTCTTTAAGAAACTGTGACACTCGTCAACATAAACAGAAAACTATACTACATATCAAACTGAAAACAGAAACTTTTAAAGACAACTTTGAAAACAAGAGTTACCTTTTTGTCAGGTTTTGGCGCATTTTGTATAGAATTTAGGGCTTGCCTCTTATATTCAAGTTTCTCATTTAGTTCTCGTAGTTTGTTTACAGCAAAACTGGCTTGTTCATTAATCCGACTGGTACCTTCATCCACAGCCTCCTCACCAGCCTCACCTCCTGGGCCCTGGGAGAAGATGGCACGTGAACCACCGCCTTTATAATGACGGACTATTCAGTGCATGTCGCCTGCAGAACAGAGTCGACGTCATGACAACACACTGTTCCAAAGCACTGGGTTCCACTAGGGAAAGAATCCTTGGTAGGAAGCCTAGAAGTAGACTGCTTTTTCTCAGCAAAGTGAAAAATCAAAGTATTTACAACCAAAGTAACTGGTATTTGGAATTGCGGTGAAAAAAGAAACACAGCCTAGAGAAAGGAGAAAAAATTCCACACCATTATTCCCCACATGGTACACTCAAGAAAACCCACACAGAACAAGGGAACGCAACACGAATGTTCTGCACCTAAACTTTGACATAAAAACACTGAGACCTGGCTTCCTTTTGGTCTTTTAAGAATATTACGAAAAACTCATGCAAGTCCCTTTAAAATTTTCAAATTCCTATTGGTCAAGGTATTTTCGGTATACCCTTTGCTCGGTCCTTCTTTTAATGATATAGTTTACTAGCCAACAGATTATTCTACAAGTAAAATACTTAGCATTTGAAAGTGACTTAAGATTCATGAAGAACGAGATAACTTGAAAAACTCTAAACAGCTTATCAACAAACAGCATGTGATGATTAGACCTGTGACCTGCAACAGTATGAAAAGAACTGCAGGGAACTGTCTTCTGGTTCGTTTACTCCTTAACGTGCTTCCAGATCTTTTTCTTCTAATTTTTATTAATTGTAACAAACAGTAATGTAATTTTTTTTGAAGAAACATAAATTATTAATAATCAGAGAACACCAAGCTGTTTCATGTTTTCTGTTTTCTAATCCTTGTCCATGAATGTATCCTGCCTTTTTCATACAATATTCAACATGCGTATTTTGAGGGTAATTGCTATGGCTGCCCAGAAGTCTATGAGCTGATAATATATTGAGGCATGTTCCTATTGCTGCTCCTGCTATGGGCTGATTTTGCTTTTTCTGCTATCCCAGATGTACTAAAACAAACTCCACTGTGCACAAACTTTTTTCCCTAAATTTTAGTTATTTTCATAGAATAAGTTTCTAGAAGTGGGGCCCCTGGAACAGAGAGTGGGAGCTTTCAAAAGATCAGTAATACGTATTACCCTTCTTCAGATCCTAGGGGAAGTTTGACATTTCTTCCCCTTTGTTTACTATTTATTACCTTTCATATCAACTGTCAGTTCAAGTCCTTATTCAATTTAACTGTTAGGCATTAATGTTTTTCTTGATTTGAATACACTTTTCACAACATTTGCATATTAACCATTTTAATTTTTGAGGTACAGAGATAGATCAGTTTGTTTTAGCTGTGCTATCCGAAAAATAAAATGCAATGAGTAATGAGTTTTGGACCAATCAGTTTAGTGATTTTAAAAACTGAAAATGTAAAGAACCAAGTAACAAAACTTACAAAAAAAAAGTCTGAATGAATGAGTTTAACAACAGTTCAGAGACGTCAGCTTCTAATACCACCATAAACAAGCACCCGATTCCTCAGGGCTCGAGATACAGTGAACTGGACAGAAAGAAAGAATCTAAATTATAATTTTTCCATGTAAGGTGACTTTACTACGTAAGGTGCTTCTTCTTTGTGCCTTCAAAACCTTCAAGCTCTTAAGTCATTAATAGGAGACTGCAACTGGAGCGATTCAAAATGATCCAGGGCACTAGTAAGACAATTAGACTTCGGGTATGGCTGGGGCAAGGTTTCCTTCAAAACATCTTAATTTCGTCTGGTTTTGCTTTTTTTTTTAAATTCCAAAGTGTTTCCTGCAACTCTTCCTGTATGCTCTACTTCTCCTCATTTTCCCTCATCCTTCTTGTCTGTTCTCAGGCTGGACTGTCATGCCACTGACTCTCGAACCTGGCCTAAGTCACAAATGTTCCATCCCACAGACGTCCTGCCCTCACTTTCCAGGAGACAGACCCAGGTGTGTCTCAGGCAGACAGAGCAGGGAGGTCTCTGACTGAACCCTGGTGGTGGTACCCAGCTGGTCAGAGGGACAGAGAAAGAAGCACGTAAGACCACAAGCAGCAACAAGGCGCTTCAACTTAAAGTTCCACTCAAAGTCCTGTACATTAAAAGATGAGGGTGTACGCCAAATTCGGCTCACACAACCTGTGCCCACCTAGTCATACCCAGAGCTTATGCAATCAAAAGGGAGCAGGAAGTTAAACGTGACTCACCATTTCATCTCTGTTGGAAATCAGCTGTGAGGCATGTTTTTCTTCCTCTTTTATCATCAGTTTCTCATACAGGTCACTGACAATAAATGAAGGGTAATATCTATCCTTCAAGGTCTCATAAACATCTCCCTGGATTTTGCAGAACACTTCAATTCCTTTATTTCCCACAAGACACTGCTGGATTTCTTTGTAAAGTGATTTTTCCACAGGTATTTCTTTGCTCTCCACAAAGAAATTCTGGTAAATTTCACCAACCAATTGTGGGATTTCATTCTGAAAAGACAGGAAGGTGAAGAAAGAGAAAGGAAGAAATACCATCTCTGAGAAAAACTATTTTCTTCTGAATTCTCTGCATTTTAAGGGTGGAAGGAAGTCATTTAGAAGATGGGATGAGTGCGGGGTTTGGGCCTTTGTGTGAACATTCACGGCCAAGGGGTAAGCGTCAGACCTTGAAAAAAACAACCGGTTCCTTAAAATGAACACATTACGTTAAACAGTTAACAAATGTAATTTCTTTTAAATGCTGGAAGGAAAAAAAGAGAATGAGAACAGTTCTCTTGCAATGGATTCCTTCTCATAAATCTGGATTCCTCAGGAATACAGTTTATCAGCTAAATTCTATTTGACTTTTTCATCTAACATAAATAATCAGAAATGAGAATTCCTCACTCTAGAAAAAAGTCAATAACTGTGTAATTTAAGAAAGCAAGAGAAACAGCCTTCAGAATGATGACTTACTTTACTGTAATCAAGCTTATATTAGACAGCTTGGTCTTAAACATTACACTTAGGTCACTGCTGGTCTACTTCGGAAATGCAAACATCTCTTCTGATTAACATAATCTTCATGTTTCCACTAGAGATAACTTATTAACTCTAGGAATGTTATGCAAAGTCTTCAACATTAGCAAGAAGTGAAAACAACTTAATGAACATTATGAATATGAAAAGTATTTCAGAACTTCTACATCCAAATCAACGTTGCTAACTCAAAATATAGCTACTCAAGGAAGCTATATCCTCTTATTCCACTGACATTTTTCAACTTGTTTTCAGTAGGTTAGGAAAATTTTTTAGATTGTGTTTTACAAAATTCCCTTGAGAGTGGCCAAAAGTCAAGTTTGAAGTCACGTCTGGTAAATAAAACATGTAATAAAACTGGCAAATACAATATTGAGAAAAATGAAGTAATTTGTGGCTTATAAATTGATAATAAAAGGCATTCCTAAAAGATTTTAAAATACTATGACTGGATTTAGCTCCTTAACCAATGTAGTGGGTGATTTCTGATGGATTTTAAGTTGTTTGGCTCTAGCAATGCTCACACGAAGTGCAAATGAGGAACTCAGTGTACACTGCGCTACCTGTGCTTATTTTAATAAGCCTCTCAAGACACGTGTGTTATATATTATTTTCCATCTTCCTTATTAACATAATCATATTTTTAATGAAATAAAAAAAGGTATAAAATATACACACTGTGGTATTAAAAACACACACTGTGGTATTAAAATAACAAGGTCATGAGATTGAGGTGTAGGTGAAAAGACCAAATTTACTGTAATAGCAATGTGGGTACGTGTATGCCTTTTTATAATGGGTTAAAAAATAACTACCTGAAACTAAATTCAATATTTGGGTACATTTGTAAATATATTTTCCTTGACTACACATATAAAAACAAAATCTAATTTTATGTACCATTATGGGCTAGAACATAATGCCAATAATGTATCTGGCCTAAAATATTCTTTGAACGTATACTTATCTTACAGCTTTACTGAGAAACACAGATGCGCTGCCCAATACACAGGTTTTCACCAGCTAATGATTAATACTGCTTTGAGCCTATATATCCTACCTTGTTAGCATTCTTCAGACATTCCACAGACTCCCAGAAACGAATCAGAGCTCTCTTATCCATCCTTTCCATGTATGTTCTAAAATGCTCTCGGTAAAAAGGACTGGCCAAGATGTCTTCGAATTGAAGAATCTATTAAGGGAATTTAAGAAAAAGTTTTTCAAAACCAAATTTTAGAACTCAGATTTTCATTTTCTTTTTCAGTCAGTTTTGGTGATTTGTGTAGTCAGTCTAATTTAAATTGTGAAATTTATTGGCTTCAAGTTGTTCATAATATTCTTTTGCTATCCTTTTAATGCATGTAGGATCTATAGTGATATTCCCTCTCTCGTTCCTAATATTTGTAATTTGTGTCTTTTTTTTCTTGGTCAGTTTAACTAGAGTGTATAAATGTTGATCTTTTAAAATAAGGACCTTCAATTTCATTGATTTCTCTGTTTTTCTGTCCTCTATTTCACTGATTTCTGTTGCTATATAATTTCCTTCCTTCTAGTTATTTTAGTTTTAATTTGCATCTTAAGGTGGAAGATCACTGATTTTACACAGTTCTACCTTCTGGCTTTGAGGCCCTTCCCCCTCATCCAAGGCCCCGTCCTCTTGCTGGTCGTAGGCGGGGCCTCCCAGGATTCTGATCCTCTTCTCACACTGCTTCTTCGCCACAGTCAGCTGGTTAATGTACCTTTTCATGTTCCTGGCCCTCAGGAGATCAGCCTTCATGGCAGCGGTTTCTTTACCTTAAAGGAGATGGACGGACAGTACCTGGTTAGAGGACAAGGTACAAGAGAGGAAGCAGTACAGCTCTGGACCAGACCAGTGTCTGACGTGTACATTCTGAACAACAGTGGGCACTGAAGAGCAGCCACTATGGATGGGAACCAGGATGGAGGTTCCTCAAAAAATTAAAAATAGAACTGCCATATGATCTAGCACCAGTGACACTTGGGGTGGATAAGTCTCTGCTGCAGGGCTGTCCTGTATACATATTGGGTGATTTTTAGCAGCATCCTAGCCTCCACCACTAGATGCCAGCACCATCCCTCCCCACTGATGTAACATCCAAAATTGCCTCCTGATCTTGTCAAATGCCCCCTGTCCTTTGGTGGGCAAACTGTACCCCACCCCACTGAGAAGTTCTAATAAGAGGTAGAGCCTCTGTGCGGGGGGGAAAGAGCAAGGCTGCACTCTCCCCAGCCCCCAGTGCCCCCAGCACATGGCTCTACTCCCCAGGACACACAGGCCTCCTCACGCCCCCCAACCCCAAGCAATCAAGGGAAGGGAGTAAGGGGGGTTCTCACTAGATGTCGGGCCTCCACTCCTCAGCCTGTACCCACACTGATGGACTAGCGAACCTCTGAATCTTTCCTGTACATTTAGATGGAAGTTTCAGTAAGCCTCCCTGAGAATCTCTGAGAAGAGGGTTCATGAAACAGGAATGTATTTATTTAGGTACCAGTCAGATTTCAAAATGGGAAATGGTGCTCCACACTTCTCAACATGAGACTGAGTTACTGATTGGCACACACTCCTTCAAAGTTACCTGAAAATCAACTCAGAAGCCGCCCAGGAACTACAACCATATTTACCCTGCTTTTCAACTTGAGATAAGTATG